GCCCAAGAGTCTGTGTTCTGTATGCACACAGACTCTCGGGCTACAGGCTGTGCCTTGCAGTTCATGGAGAGTGGTTTCCTTTCTGAAAACAAAAGGCCAGTTTGACCTCTGGGGAAGTAAAGCAAACCAGGTAGATCCCTATGATGGCCAAAACAGGGAACACAGGAAGACTTTGATGTTTTGAGGTACAAACAAAGCAACCCAAAGTGATAATGGTGTGTCTCTGAGAAGGAGAGGAAGGAAGATCCTCTAGTCAGCTTCACTGGCCCAGTGTGCGCCCTGCTCGCCCCTAACTCTAGCCTACTTTCTAGTTCCACACCCTCCCTTTGCCAGCCCCTCTGTCCCCAAGGGGGATCCTGCCCAAGGAAATCCACTGTTCTGAGACAGTGAAAAGTTCAACTTTAGGATTATTTGTGCCCTTTTCTTAGGCTCTATCTGTTAGAAAGATAGTGAGAAGTATTCCAAACAGAAGCAGTGCTGGGAAGAGTCACCCTAGTATAAGGCCCAAACAACCGGGACATTCAGAGAGAAGGAAATACCCTTCCCTTGTCTGTATTTAGACCCTATTGTCAGCAGGAGGATTAGAGAAGCCCCCACACCCATCCAGATAAGCACAACAGAATGGGCTGAGCCCCAGGTCTGCTGAAGGTCAAAACCTGCTCAGTTGACACCCTGCCATTAACATGACATCAGCCACCCTTTCCTCAACTCTGAGCTGCCCACCTTTGCTTTCTCAATACCCCGTGTATGTCCCACAGAGAACTCACTGCCTGCCTGGACAGCAGATGACCTCAGGTTTGTAGTGAGGAGGGCTGTGACGAGCCTCTGCAGTCCAGGCTTACCGTGGCCCACAGTGGCCTGCCTCTCTGCTCTGCTTCTCTGGGTTTCTCTGTAGGACAGTCTAAGGCCCATTCCCACCACACTGACCCAGCCTTAGGTGGTGATGCTTGGTATTTCCAAACCCTGGGCTGGAAGGGGCAGAGCCGACTTGCACTTCCATGGCCTTGTCTCCCTCCCTCCATCACTCAGAAGTCTCTGCATCTGCCCACACTGAACAGTAAATGGTATAGCAACAGCCTAGGGATGATGGTGCATGCAAACACTTGCCAATTGCACTCTGAAACATAAGAATAAACCAAGTGCCTTGGCACCACTTTCTTCTAAACAACCGAGAAGCCCCTGTGAGAGCTGGGAGCATTTGCCTTTGGAGGGAATGGAGAAGTTTCCATTTGACTGGCTCATTAATTCCTCCCATGGTCCTATGAGCCAGCTGTGGAAATGGTGCCCTCCAACAACCCACATCAGGAATGTCACTCTTCTAATTATTATTCAGGAAAACATCCTAGGGCTCTTTTTCAACAAGTAAATGTTGTGTAATAGATTATACGTTGGGAAGAAACAGAAAGAAGCCTGAATTTTACTCATCTGGAAGCTACCGAAATGAGCACAGGAGCACCTCCTGGGGAAGGCTGCGTCTCTGTGTGGTGATTCTAACAGGTGTTCATTCTCCCATCCACAACCCACATTACAGTGTGGTTTATGCAAACGTGGTGATTGCAGGGAATTTGAGTCCATGAGGTCGTTTTTATTCTGAGGTAATGTTTTGTAAGAAATAAAATATGACTACTTTAACTTCCTGCTGTCAGGGTGTTTTGTGGGGAGAGGGAGGCATCAGCATTTCACACCACACCTGGAACCTAAGTCTGACTGCTTGAACACTAGCACACACTGAGGCCTTGGATTTCATGATGTTGTCCTCCTGCCCTCCCCTAGCAAGCTTTGGCTCAGCCATTAGAAGTAGTATTATATTCCATAATTCAAGTTAAATGTCATTAAGTGTGATTATAATAATAATATAAACGCCATAATCTTGATGGCTAACATGACCATGGTTTAGTTCCTGTTCACGGCTCACCTTAAGCTCAGTTGGTGACGAAGTCAAGGGGGCAGTGGCTGTGTTTCATACAGTCACTAGCATCTGGACTGATGGGAACCCACTGCAGCCTTTGGCACTTTCCTTCAAGGCCCTATGAGTACCAATGAGTTGTTGACAAACAAGGAGAGAAAGCATGGAGGATCAAGTGAGAATAGTCAGGTGACTGACCTGGAACTACCAATAAAATCTCTTCGACTCAGTTCCTCTGACCCATCTAAGACTGGGGTCTAGAAAATAAAGTCCTGGCCTGGGAAGTCACTTTCCACCATCTGCTTGGCGGAAACACAGCACAGAATGCTGGAGGAAGCTGGGAGCCTGGAGATGCAATGTATGCAAGGCGCAAGCTACCACCACTGTTGCTCTCAAGTGATGGTTGCTGCTTGTGTGGCAATAGGGAAATCTACAGAGCCTGTTACACAGTCCACAGTGACTTCACTGAGCTTCTCTTCTCCGCCTGCCCCACTCCTGAAGTCCTGACAGTCCCAGTTCACAGCTCATTTTGTATCAGAGAACAATCAGCAATGTTCCATGCCTACAGTAGTGAACATTAGTACTGGATGCTGTGCCCTCTACTGGACATGTCCAAAACCTAATTTAAAACCCAAATAGTGTTGGGTGACTTTTCCTGGGAAGATGTGAACAAGGTCAGTTCAGCCAAGACAAGGCATCAACAACAGATCAAAGAAATGATTCCCTCAAAGTCCAGCTCAATGAACCAACGCATTGTCTGAGGTGACTTCGGGAGCATGGGCTACTCATAGACAAGTGCATCACAGAGAGCACAGCAAGCTAGAGAACAAGCCATGAAGGCAGCCTCCCTAGCAGGCAGCGCCCTAGGAGTCTCCCCACCCTAGCTCTTATAACCTTGGGACAGGACCATGGGAATCCTATAATCTACTCCTAAGGCTTTTACGTTTTGTGAGCTTGAGCCTCATAAGCCTTTCCTCCCACCAAAAGATAGCATTTTCATTAAGAAGAAGGAGCTACATAACAAACCAGAAGGTGAAGAAACAGAAGCCAGGTCCACACCCAGGGACCATGGCGTCTCTGCCCAACTTATTTAGACTCTCTGCCCCTCAAAGCCCTCATCTATAAAATGATGATTTGGGGTTAGCAAGTATGGAGATTGGATCTCTAGCCAGGAGTGGCCACATGCCTGTAACCCCAATGCTGGGGGACAGGAGGTACTCTGGAGGACAAACAGCTCCTCTGGCTTCTGCACATGCACTCATGGGCAACCCCTACACACACACACACACACACACACACACACACAAGAACACATGCACACATATCCATCACATACACACACATACACCACACATACACACACATCTATCACACATACACACACATCCATCACACATATACGCACACAAATTGGAATGTATGCTGATCAAATATTCGCCTGGTTCATAAAAATAGATTAGACTGACTTGCATCAAAACTGAAAAGCCTGACACTTCAAATGATACCACACATACAAAGTGATGAGGCCAGGGGGATGTCTCAGTTGGTAAAATGCTTTCAAGCACAGGAACCTGAGTTCAATCCCCAAAATCAACATTAAAATTCAGATGAGGTGGCCTGTGTTTGTAATCCCAGTGCTGGATTTGGGAAAGTGGATCCCTGGGGCTTGCTACCCAGCCAGTTGGGCCTAATTGGTAAACTGCACACTGAGAGACCCTGCCTCAAAGGTGATGTATGGCATTCCTAAGGATGACACTGAGCACGCATGAGCATGCACACATATGAAAGCGTGCACATACACATATGCACGCACGCAATAAAAAGAAAGTAAAAAGACAGACCACATAATAGGAATTAAATGTGTGTGTGTGTGTGTGTGTAATTTAAGACATCTAAAACAAAGAATTCTTACAATCCAATAATAAAGACAATTTAAATGGGCAAAAATAATGCCACTAAAAGGGGTAAAAGATATGAGTAGATACTTCCTTGAAAGCAATAAAAATTCAAAAAGATAACACAAATGAAGAGAAAACGCATTAAGGAATAGTCAGGGTCCTCGGTGAAACGGAATTTACTATCACCAGGTAACATCCGCTAGAATGGTTATATATTTTTTAAGGGGTAGCAGTTAACTTAAGTTTACAAACTGTTTGAAACCAGAGGAAAACATCGACCCCACACACACACACACACTCTGGTAGAGGGGTACCTGCGATGTGGCTGCTCTGTGTGCTGGAGCTGGGGCTGGGCAGGCCAGGGCGGGAGGTGAAGGGAGGGGCTGCAGTGATGCTCTGTTCGATTGTACCATGGGTAGCTGCAGAGACAGAGCGCTCACTCTGGGCTTCTGCCTTTCAGGGTTGGGTGTTAATGCAGCTCTCTGCGGCTCCTTCTCTTCTGGGCTGGAAGCAAAGTTCCCCAGCAGCACCAAGGTGTCCAGTGAGGACTTGGCTGGGCATCCAGCCCTTCTGCGGACTACATTGGCCCCGCCCACTCTTTTAACCTCTCCAAATACACACACAATCTAAATAGGCTGCAATCACAGGTTCAAGACAACACCCCTACTGTGTACACAGCCCTCGTCGGATTGGTAACCCCTGTAAATCAAGGAGCCACGGCACATGTGAGGCCGTTGGGCTGTCCTGCATGGGTCCTAAGTAAGAGAAAGCACCCACAAAAGGGCAGCTTTCACCCACAGCCAGATTCAGCAAGAAAACCAGAGGCTGGGAAAGGCCCGGGGCAGAAGTCCAAGGAAACCTGAGTTCTGCTCCTATTCGGCCCCTCTTCAGCAAGTTGGTTCTCTCTGGGGCCTCAGTTGCCCCTTCTGTAAATCTGTGGGGAATCGCTTTAGCTAAGTCAGGCAGAAAAGCCTCTAAGAGAAGTGTCACGGCCTGTAGCAGGTGCCTCTAATGACAGTGGGAGCCCTCCTTATGCCAGGGGGGATGAGGCACCGCACCCCAGCACCCGCAACTCTCCAAGCCGGTGACCAGCAAGAGCAGTGGCCTGCGGGGCCAGGGCAATGCCAAGCAAGAGCAATGCCAGACAGGGCGGGGCTCGAACCCACACAGCAGCCCAGAGTCATGTGTCTGGGTCACGTGGCCCCACCCGGAAGCGCAGCGCACCGCGGGCTGGCTACTTGCTGGGCGCGGAGAGCGGCGGATCTGGTACGTGGACATCGCGGGTGTCCGAGCGCCACCCTGGGTCGCCCCTCGGTGGACACCTCCGCCGCCCAGCCCTCCCAGCTGGGAGAGGCCCGGGAGTCCCCGGGAATGACCTCAGTGTCGCGCGCTTTCGGAGCGGGCGCCCCAAGCTAGGCCTTCGTCCCCCGGGTCACTGTGAAATTCAGGGAGTTGGGGGGACATGAGGATTTGAGGGTGACAGCGCTGGAGGGCTGAGTAAGCAGCCTGTGGGCGGAGCCCGGCCGTGACGCGGTGCTAACTGGCTCCGAGCGAGACTCCATCCTAGGCTAGGTGTTCTGCGGGGACATCAGGGTCTCCAGTCCCCAGCCGCTCGCCCCCACCCCTCACTGGGCTGTAGTGGACACGACAGAGGCCACAGGGGCAGTTTTCTGGGGACAGTGAGAGAGCTGTGGTCCGGGTGGTAAAAACGGGTGCAGAGGATTTTCTCAGGTTGGCCGTTCTCCCCCGACTTCCCTCTTTTTGGAGCAAGATATAGGGAGATCAAAAGTTAGAAAATGAGGTTAGCAACCTTTGAAGATAATCACTGAAGTATTAGAACCTGACCCCCACCAAGAAGCACGCCCGTGTTTTCAGGAAGTTGTCATTAAGGCCAATCCTGAGGCTGGTGCAGCCAGGCTCAGAGTTTCATTGCAAACCAAGAACCCCTAAGGGCGAAACTTCCTCTTTGGCTTTAGATTCTCTTGCCTTTTATCAAAATAGGGAGGGTTCTGGAGTGAGTTTGAGTCTCCTGTTATTTGAAGCTGGGGAAGAAGAATGGCACCATTCTTCTCTGTAAGCTGAGCCTACTGCACTGAGGTTGCAGTATGGCTGGGTGTGGGTGACTCTTCCTGTAACCCGGGAGGAAGGTGCAGCAGGGGTCTGTTCCTTGGTCTCCCAGTGGGAGTTTAAGGCTCAGAGTCGGATTGTGACCTAGGAAAGCCCAGAGTGGAACCAAAGCCTGATGTTGTTAGTTTGTGGCACCCCCCCCCCATCACTCGCTCACATCACTCTCACAGCAAGTTCCTTGGGGCTGCTCGGAGTGGGTTTGCTGACCACACCATTTGTTTCAGTGACCCCGAGTATAGAACAAGACCTCTCCTGCAGCAGCAGAGGCAGGAACTAGTGTGTCACCAACACCTGCTCCACATAAAGGGCTCCCCAAGCTCATGGTCCCTAAAATGGGGGAGCCTGCGACTTTTCAGCCCTTCCCCCAGCTTGTCCACTCTCAGAACAGGCAGCAGTGGAGACCAGAGCCTCTTCCTGCTTTCACATTCTCTCTGCCTTGAGCATTTGCAGGCCCAAGGATGCTGTGCTGTTCCCTGAGCTGGTCAGAGGCTAGCTCCTTGGAAGCTCTGCTGTGTGCCTTGCCAAGGTAAACGATGTTCCTCTCCTGGGGTGGGAGTGGGGGGTAGAAAGGTGGGCAGCAGCCACTTTGGGGCTGTGGAAAGCAGATAAGGATAGTGGACTGAGCCACTGTGGGCTTTGTACATCTCTTCCCCACCCACCTGCCCCAGCCCCGTTCCTTATGTCACTACTGCATGAGGGTGTAACGAAATAACGCCAGAATGGCTCTCAGGGTGGTGGCTGGCATGCTCCAAAGGGCTCAGTGAATGTCCAACAGGCTGAGGCTCTTCTCCTTACTCAGGCTGAACTCACAGATCTGACCTTTGCTCTTGCTTCCCCCTGGAAGATGAAGTGTGTGTTGGTGGCCACTGAGGGCGCGGAGGTGCTCTTCTACTGGACAGATGAGGAGTTTGAGGAGAACCTCAGGCTGAAGTTCAGGCAGTCAGAGAATGAGGAGGAGGAGGTAAGTGCAGCATAGAGTCTCAGGGGGAGAGTATCAGTAGAGGAGCCACACAAAGCCACCCAAGGCAGAGAGGCCCAGAGAGCCCCCTCCTGGCCATCAGGAGGGCTTGCTTGGCAGGGACTATGCCTGCCCAGCAGGAGGGCTGGGCTGCCTGGCCAGCAGAGGCAGCCTTTTGATGTTCTGAGTGCTGTGAGTTCACACCTCACCAGAGCTGTCTATGCCAATGAGGGAGAAAGGAGGTAAATTTTAACTGCACCACAGGGAAACCTGGTATCAGGTTCTCTACCCCAAAAGCTTGGCATTCGCATAAAGCATTCATTTTTAACAGCTCTATTAAGATATACCAGACTAACCATTGTCTGTTCGTGTTTAAATTATACAATTAAATGTGTCTATATCTGTGGTCTAGTCACAATCATTGAACTGACTGCCACCCTAAAAGAAGTAACCCCTTTTTTACTTCCTTTACTCCCTAAGAACCAATGAGCACCTTGCTCTCCTGATGAGTCCGTGCTTTGTAGATGTACCCAGAAGCACCGTGCACAGTGTGTCGGGGTTTCATTTCGAGTTGTGTCTGGTTTGGGCTGGCTCTTTTCACTCAACGTGATTCTTTGTTGTGTCTTCGTCCATCTCAGCACCTAGCAGTCATCCAGTTGTCTCCTTTCTGTATGGCATTCCACCATATCCACAGGCCACAATTACTTTGTTTCCAGGCTTTGATTACCATAAACACATTGGCTGTGAGCGTACATCTTTACATGAGTTGGACCCTGTGGGTGTTTTTTGATTTTATGTGTATGGGTGGTTTGCCTGCATGTGTATCTATGCACCGTTTGCATGCTGTGCCCACTGAGACCAGAAGGGGGATCAGATCACCTAGAACTGGAGTTACAGATGACTGGATTGTCATGTGGGTACTAGAAATAGAATTCAGGTCCTCTGCCAGAACAGCAAATGCTCTTAATGGCTGAGCCATCTCTTCAGGCCCGGTACTCCTTAAGAAACCCCCTAGCTCTGGGGCTGGAGAAATGGCTCAGCAGTTAAGAGCACTGGCTGCTCTTCTGCATCCTCCCAGATTCTTGCTATTCATTTTTAATTTTAGCCAGTTTAATAGATGCCGGCTAGAATTCCATATTTTATTTTTCATCCTTTGGTAACTCTGGGAAGCTTTTTTCGTGCTACTTTGCCATATTGTTTCCCATATTTGATCTATGTAATTGGACTTTCCTTTGGGCCACCAGCCAGCTCCCAAATAATGACACGGAGACTTATTATTAATTATGAAAGCTTGGCCTTAGCTTAGGCTTGTTTTTAACTGGCTCTTACAACGTAAATTAACCCATTCCTATTATTCTACATTCTGTTACATACCGCCCATCCTGCGTTCTCCGTGTCGCCTGGCATCTTCCCTGCACCAAGATTGTCTCCTGCTTCCTCTCTCTGTGCCTGGAAGTCCCACCTATACCTCCTGCCTAGCTATTGGCTGTTCACCTCTTTATTAAACCAATCATAGCAATATATCTTCTCTCAGTGTACAAATATCCCACAACAAATGTGTTTTCTTCAGTTGTTCTTATTGAATTTTCAGAATTTCTTACACAGTTTGGACATGTCTTTTATTAGTTCTCGTTTGCAAATATATCCCATCAGGCTGTGGCTTGTCTGCACATGCTCTTAAGAGTGCCTTCCAAGACAGCTGTCTTCTGGGGGCTACCTTTGTAGTACTCTCATGAAATGAACCATCCTGAACCGGTGTTGTGCAGGGCTGAAGACGGATGAAGGAAGGGCTCCTTGCTAGGACCACCATATCCAGAAGACAGTTACAACTGTCCCCAGGGGTCCATATGTGCTTATGGGAAGATACTTGTGTTTATTGTGTACAAAGTTCATTCCACGACATCTGAACTTTACAGATGTCCTAAAGGAGAGCATATGGTTAAAAGTATAGCTTGGCAGATTGACAGAAAAGATGCCTCTTGAACATAGAACTGTTAAGCCACGTCTGGATAGTGTGAGTTCATTCACGTTGCGAAGCTGACTGTGGAGAGGCATAGGGAGACTCGCAGGGTGTGATCTACAGCACTGTGCTGTGTTGAGATTGACGTCCTGGGAGCCCCTGCCGTAGGGGCACCCTCAGTGCATCCATAGGAATACATTTATTGAACAGGAACACGTCTTCTTCATATCTTACTATATAGATGTGGTGATAAATGTAGGAATTCTGTACTTAGTGTGGTCTGTTGCTCTGTGTTTCCTTGTAAGCTGAGCATCGAGGGGATGCAGAATTTTAGTTGTAACTTCGCCAGTAACTTCTATCTAGCGCCCTGCTGCCATTTTTGTTTTCTATGAAATTTTTGTTGCCAAGAAAGACAGGATTACAGTTCTGTCTGACAGATTGAGATGGTGTGGTGTATTCTTGGTTATCAACATCCTCACATCGTGTGGGGTTTTTAGTCAGTGAGTAGAGTATTCACAATGTGGGAAAGCTTGGTACAGACTGTATAATCTCAGTTCCCTAAGCGTGTGTACACTTGCAGCGTCTAGGAGCAAGCTGAGCTCCATGTGACTGGGAGGCTGTTCTTGGCTTCTTGTGTTTTGTATCCTGTGATGCACATACTACAAAATAAATAAAAGTTTCTTTAAAAGCTTTAAAAAAAAGAAGTGTGTCTCAAAGAGCCCATGCTTTTAGTTCTGAAAACACTATCTTCTGGTTTTTGCAGTTGTGGATCGTGATTTTGGTGACAGATCTAAGAAATCTTTGCCTAACTTAAGATCACAAAGAATTTTCCCCAGATCTTCTTCTGGAATTTGTACAGTTTGGGGTTTGTTTTAGTTTGGGGATTTTTTTTTTGTTTTTATTGCTGTTTAACTTCTGTTTATTTGTGTACATGCATGCACATGTGTGCACATGACATAGACCATATGTGGTGGTCAGAGGATAACTTGGGAAAGTCGGTCTTTCTACCATTCTGGGCATCAAACTCAGGTCATCAGGCTTGGCAGCAGCAAACATCTTTATCCACAGAACCACCTCCAGCCCCTGTTTCTGTTCAGACAAGATCTCACTAGGGAGCTTATCAACCTCTAACCTGCAATTCGCCTGCCTCTACCTCCCAAGTACTGGGATTACAGGCACACACCTCTGTGACAGATTTAGCTTTGAATTTCATATTAGACCCAATGACCCTTTTTTGGACTTGAATGTAGTATTTAAGTGTGGCTGAAAGCTTTTCTGTATATGGACATCCATTTTTTTGATACCGCTGAGAAATAGTTGCCATATTCTCTTATTGAATTCCCATTCTGCATTTCACAAGAGTCATTTATTTTGCATTTTTTTCGGGGTTAATTTTGGATTAAATTTTTTTATTAGATTTTCAATGATCAAACCATTCTTGCATTTCCTGGTAACACAATCTAGCTGCTCCCCAGATGCAGGGATGAAGCTAAGGCCTGGTTGAACTTTACTGACCACATCACCCTCGCCATCAGCCTCTGATGCCATCGTCCTTTGTTAAGAGAAAACAAGACTCGTGAGATCACAGACATTCAAATGACTTTCTAAATTAAAGTTCTAGGCCTGGCTCTTTGGCACTTTCATCTTTAAAAGTCAACACATCTAATCTTTAACATCTAATCTTTAAGAATTTATAAGAAATATTTCAGTTCTTCCTCCTTATTAAAACCTGGTACAAGAACAAAGTCCTGAGTTTTTAGCTCCTAAATAGCTAGTGTAAAGGAACACAACCTCAAGTGCTGTTTGTGTGAATAACTTAGTTTCTGCTGAGTAACAGGCATTATTATAGGGGACCTGAGAGCGCAGAGTAGTTTTTAATAACTCAGAATCCCATCACTGAGTGCTATTGGCTCCTTAACATCCCTGCTTGGGGTCTTTACCTTTTATATAGCAGGGGTCATACCACATTTACAGTTTTGTTTTTTTAACTTCATTATATCAAATCATTTTTGCATTTTGTTATGAACCCAAAAGCATAATTCTTAATGTTACCATTATATCCAAATATATGAATAAATGTATCTTTATCGAATTATTTCTCTAAATATATGAAAAGATATATATATACATATATATATGCATATATATGTATATATATACATATATATATATATGTATATATATATATCCTAGATAGCTGTCACTGTGGGGAACATTTATTTGTGCTTGAACTTTATCCAGTTATTTGATATGATTATTTCTAGAAATAAAAATGAATGAAAAGACATTCAAAAATATATTAGCACTTTATAATTTATCAAGTATTATATAAGAATATTCCTTTATACTCTATGTATATTGAAAAATTTTGGTTTCTTTCCACCACCAAATATTCTCAATAGAAAAAGCTACTGCCTATAGGGTGAGTTACTGTACTCAGTCTAGATTTTTTCTTTAATGACTTTCAATATAATTTGTGACAGAAATTAAGAAAACAATAGAACTTAAATAAATCACAAGCATGTGTTCTTACCTATGTTAGAGGCAGCTGTTTAACTAATACTGAGGGTCTAGAGTTTGCTGCCCCCTCAGAGTACAGCAATAAGTATTGCAATGTGGTTCCTGCTCTCAGAACGTAGCTCAGGGAGGCACCATGAACAGTGAACCGTATGTTGAGTAAATCCCACAATTGCAGGCTGACCTCTACCAACAGACAGAACTGAACTGTCTGTGGAATGTGAGTGACAGGTGGGTAGGCCAAGGGCATCAGCAAAGAAGCTGTGCAGCAGACCTCAGGGGTGGGACCTAGACCCAGTTTCCTGAGCGATGGGAAGGTTGGCAAGGAAACTGCCTGGTCCTGCTCTGTGTCACCACTCATTACTGGTGACCAGTCAGCCTCTTGGTTCTGTGTCCAAGGTGAGGGGGTTCATGCGTTCTTTGTGTATCTCAGCAGTCTTCCTGATGAGGAGTCAGCTTCCCCAAGTTGCTTTTGAGTCTTGTGGAATCAGCAAAATGGACCGTTTCCTCCCTTCTCTTCACTCCAGCATCGAGGGTGGAATTGGAGTCTTTGCTCAGCTTCCCCAGTGTTCTCACAGACTCTTGTAGCTAATGCTCCCTCCTTCTGCTGGGGAGAAGAGGAGGAGCATGAATGATGAAGATGAGTGTCCAAGTAAACACATGCTTGTTAGGGAGCAGAGAAAGTCCAGAAATGGTAGGGGGAGAGGAGATCGTTCATAATTCCTTTATACAGAAGTAACATCATGAGTGGTTTCTTCATGCTTTTCAGTACTTTGGGTTTCTTCTATGCATTTTAAAATATAGAGCATTCACGCCCTTTAGTAACCACACTGTGTCAGAGGAAATTCCCATGTTGTTGAAACAGTAATATTTTAAGTAGTATGGATTCTTCTCAGCTAAGACCCTCATAAACTTCCCACTACAGAAATTTTTACATGGTCCCTGGCATGTAGGTATAAAATAGATGTGGAATCAGACACTTACTGATAAATCATTAAAATTTTTTACCAATTCATTTGTATACATATAAATTCATTAACGAAAGAGGAAAGCAGTGTTAAACACTAAAGACTTGAGTGTGCTTGTTTATTTTTACAAAAGAGTAAAATCTGGGGCTGGAGAGATGGCTCAGTGTTAAGAGCGTTTACTGCTCCCTTAGGGTTCTGAGCTCAGGTCCAGCACCCACAGTGGCAGTTGACATCCACTTGTAATTCCAGCCCCAGGGTATCTGGTGCCCTCTTTAACCTCTACAGGCACCTGCATATGTATTCACACACACACACACTACCAACACCCACACACACACACACACACACACACACACACACACACACGAGTTTAAAATAAATCTCTTTTAAAAACTAATTAAACTTTCCCAAACTGTTTGGTATTGCAGCGCATAAAGCATCTTCAATATGGCTGGGCTGATTGACATTTTGATTTTATAATTGTTGATGCTGAGAATAGCACTTCACCTAAACATTAGCACAAAATAGTCAAAGTATGTTTACTGCCATTTCTTAAGGTTTTGATAATTCTGCCTAAACCCAAATCAAAATTTATCTAGTTATTTTTATGAAATTAAAGTCAACCACTCAAATATATATTTCTAAAATCAAATATTCTAACACAATACAGTCTGAGATACACTAATCTATTTTGTGCACAGGAGTGGCAGTAAGAAATATTAAGTCTTTGTCTTCCATAAGTAAATCATTATGTTTCTATAAAAACAGAAAACTGGTGTGTACAGGAAAAAACCTAAACACTGTAGCATACAGTCGTCTCAAATCCGAAGTGGGTGTTTAAAGGCTACGCTCATCGGTGCTTTGTGGCATGATGCTGTGAGAAGCACAGAGCAGGCTGGGTGTTAGGACCAGTGCGTTCTTTGACCCCTTATGCTTTTTATTCTGAATTAGTTCTGATGTTGTATACTCAGAACCTTGTTACTGTTGCCAAGTACTTTGCAACCCCTTTATTTGGTTAGTCAAGGCTGTGTAGTATTGTGAGCTCCAGTGTAACAAACTGTGGTACCTGGATGTGTTACTTATTTAGCTGTTTCTCTAAGATTGAGCAGTTTTCTTTGCCCAGTTGTTTGAAATTGCATGTTGCTGTTGTGAACGTGCAAATGGACACATATTTGGCTTCTTGAATTAAAGTCCCTGAAGTAGTCCATGTCCACAAATGGCATGGAATTTAATATGTCTTAAGAGGCTTCCTTGGAGTCACTGACTTCTCAACCAAATGCTTCAGGCATTCTATGGGGGAAATGTGGCTCAATGTCTTGCAGGTTTGTTCAATCTTCTAACACTGTGAGAAGATAGTATCTGCAAATTTCATGCTTGATAAACGATGCAATTGAATTACAAAAGAAAAAAAATCAACCAAACCACCCTCATGTTTTAAGCAAATTTGTGGCTTTGTGTTGGGTTGCACTCTCAGCTTCTCTTTGGGTGCATGTGGCCTGTGACTGAGGTCAGATGTACCGACTTGAATGTTTCCTCCTGGCTTTGGACCCTGAGCTACATAGTCACTAGTCTGAGCCCACCCTCCTAGGCACCACAAAAGGTGTGGAGCAATCCCTCCTCCCACCTTCCCCATCAGGGCTGGAGTGGCCTCCTCAGGCAGGTCTAACACTTTGCTACAGATCTGGGTCTTGTTTGTTCCTTTGTTCCGGTGTCTGGCACACTTTCAGACATGTCCAGCTATGAGTGTGTCCCACCTTGTTTGCAGACATCAGACCAGTGTCAAAACGCAGACATCCCTGCAGGGGAGGCTGTGCTCTTCTCTCCCTCTCTTGCAGCTCCCTGCACTGGAGGACCAGCTCAGCACTCTCCTGGCCCCAGTCATCATCTCCTCCGTGACGATGCTGGAGAAGCTCTCAGACACATACACCTGCTTCTCAACAGAAAATGGCAAACACCTCTATGTCCTGCATCTGGTAACTCCACGGCCCTGCAGTGACCCACAGTCCACCTCTGTGTCCTGCATCTGGGAACTCCATGGCCCTGCAGTGACCCACAGTCCACCTCTGTGTCCTGCATCTGGGAACTCCATGGCCCTGCAGTGACCCACAGTCCACCTCTGTGTCCTGCATCTGGGAACTCCATGGCCCTGCAGTGACCCACAGTCCACCTCTGTGTCCTGCATCTGGGAACTCCATGGCCCTGCAGTGACCCACAGTCCACCTCTGTGTCCTGCATCTGGGAACTCCATGGCCCTGCAGTGACCCACAGTCCACTTCTGTCCAGTCCTTGGGAACCCCCATGACTTTTTCTTACCTTGGCCTATACAGCTCTCTGGAAGGCAGCAACTACAGCTTAACAGAGTCCCTGGGGCCTCACCCTCCCCTTACTTATCCTCTGAGACCTGAAAAGCCAAGGGAGTCCCGGGGCGGGGAGGAGGACCAACTGACACTCTATGACTACCCACAGTTTGGAGAGTGCCTGTTCATTGCCATCAATGGAGACCACAGTGAGAGCGAGGGGGACCTCCGGAGGAAGCTGTGTGTGCTCAAGTACCTGTTCGAGGTGCACTTCGGGCTGGTGACGGTGGACAGCCAGCTCATCCGGAAGGAGTGAGTCACTGGCTCCATCGGGTCGTCTGCTGAGTCAGGCCATAAAAGCAGAGCTCAGAGGGGCCTTGGAGACCATCTGCTCTGATTTCATTTTGCAGATGGTGAAACTGGGCAGAGAATTTAGACAATGTCCCCAGAGCCACCTAGCTGGTTAGTGGCAGCATCCGACCCACCCAGCCCTGGGCTTCCTGGCATCAGTGCACTTTCCGTACAAAGGGCTTTAGTTTATCCCTTCTGACTTCTCGAAGAAGCTGTTTAAACTCTCTACAGAAAAATATGCAGTCCACCCCCAACCTTGTGACATACTAGGACTACACTGAGAGCCTCGGTAGCAGAGAATGGCATCATACTTCCCAACATTCATGAGCAAGAAAGGACCTTGGAGAGGGCTGGGTTGAAATGTGGACCCAAAGGAGTAAGAATCAGAATTGCCTGATTCACTAACATGAATGGAAAAGTCACATGGTTTGAAATGCTGTGTCTTGAGTTTAGAAGGGATGTGAGCACCTGTTCATTGCTGGGGCACTTGCCAGATCCACCGCATTGTTTTCATGGACCATTTTAGCCCTAGTGGCTGTGGAGTCAATGACACAGGCTATGGCTATAGCCATGGGTGCCTGACACAGCCACAGTGGCAGTGCTGGCTAACACCCCTTAGTTTAATCCTGGTTGTAGGCCAGGTTGTCTGTTTACAGAGCCCTGTGGGGTGTGAGAAACCTAGGAAATGCAGGTGCCTTCTTGTCTCCTTCTGGCTGCCATTTATGTATTTACTTACTTTATTATTTATTTCAATGTGGGGAGCAAACTCACAGCCTTACCCATGCTAGGCAAATACTCTTTATCACTGAGCCACACCGCAACGCCTAGGTGGCCTTATATATCCATATGAGAAGGAGCCCAAGGAATGACATCATTTCTTCCTGGGGCCTAAGTTCTGACCTCTGCCAATGCTCATAGCCTCTCTGCACACTGTTGGCCTGACCACTTAGGTATCTGATGCTGACCTGGGACAGGGTCCTTGGACCAAGGCTGGAGATGACCAGCTTTCACTGATCCCTGCCTTCCCTGGTTTTTCCCCAGACTTCGTCCCCCTGACCTGGACCAGCGTGCTCGGGTGTGGAAGCACTTTCAGAGACTGCTGGGGACCTACAGCCACCTGCGAGAACAGGAGCAGAGCTTCGCTGTAGAGGTGACTCGGGTCCAGGAGTGTCAGGCCTCAGGGGTGACAGGTCACTGGAGGTGTCCAGCTGCAAGCATGGCCAAAAGGACAGGCAGATCCCGAAATTCTCCCAGTTGTCCTGTTCTCTCTGCCCACACAGTGGACTAGATACTCTAGTGTACCTTCCCCTAGTGAACAACTACATTCTGGGTGAGAGTTTCAGGGCAATGTCTGGGGCTCCCTATAAATCACAGAAAATGGCCTCTTTGACCTCATTCCTCCCAGGGAGAAACTGCTTTGAACTTATACTAGAGTGGAGAGCAGTGAACAGAAGCAGCAGGTGAGGCAGCTGGCTTTGGTCAGTCGTCCTCTCCACTCCCTTGAGTCACTGGCTCCATCCGGTCCTCTGTGGGTCTCATCACGGCGTTCATCAGAGTGGACAGATGAGCTCGTTAAGGGCAGGGTAGTCCTCACCCACCCAGATTCTTGTTTGGTGGAGCCAGAACGGGTGCGGTAGAGTTTCAGCTCTAACACGTGCCCAGTGATTCTGTGCCGTCTCATCATCCTTTGAAAACCACTAAATTAGAGGGTGTGAGGGGAGGCTGTGTGCGTGCGTGCGTGCGTGCGTGTGTGTGTGTGTGTGTGTGTGTGTGTGTGTGTGTGTGTGTGTGTGTATGTATCTGTGTGTACATATAAAATGTACTTATAGTTAAAGATAGGCAGATATACAAGAAAATAAGCCACTATATATGAGAGTCAGGATATCAGGTAATCAGTTACTAATAGGTTTGGATACCAAGGAGTTGGAATTACTAGATAAAATAAAGATGGGGCTGGAGAGATGGCTCAGGGGTCCTGAGTTCAATTCCCACCAACCACATGGTGGTTCGCTGCAGGGCCCTATTCTGGCCTGCAGTGTAGGCATGCAGGGAGAATACTGTATACATAATGAATAAATCTTTTTAAAAAATAAAAATATGAAAAGTAACACCACAAACAGAAATAATAAGAGATTCCAAAATGGCCAGGCAGATTTTAAAAAGAACTCTGGCAGGTAGTGTAGCTATGAAAGCCGATCAGGGAAACACTTTTGGGTCTGCTGAAGAGCGAGTGAGACATGGCTGAAGAGAGTCCGTGAAGTGGAAATGGATCTGGAAACATTCGTTTCCACGACCCTGTTCATTCACTCTGCCAAGTCATGGGCCTACTGTGTGCAGCAGATGGGTCAGACTAGAACTGGACCTACTGTGTGCAGTAGATGAACCAGACTATGATGCCTAAAGTCACCCACTGCTGTTGAGAAGAAGCCAGACGTACATACAGCAAAGCGACCTGGTGCCATAACCCCTCTCCATCAAAATCTGTGGCAGCACAAAGGATGGGGTGGCCAGCTCTTTCTTGGGCACTGGGAAAGGCTGCTGCAGGGAGAGGCCTGATGTAGTTAAGATGAAATCCAAACCCCTCCCCAAGCCCACCAGTCCTGGAGGCTCTGTCATTGTCCCTCTTGGCCCACCTTCCCAGCTAGCAGGCCCCTCTCACTACACAGCAGTGACATGGGCCATCCATCAGTCTCAGGAATGTGCTTGTAGCTTTTGAACATATGAGATGCAGCTGGTCCAGACTCAGCTCTGCCATGTGTGTAATGTAACCAAGCTTTGACAACAGTGCAACGGGTCTCACGAATGATGTCTTTGTACTTCATCATTTATATTATGGCGATAATAGTGTGTAAAAATCTTTTCACTGTTTTATATTTGGTGTGTGTGTGTGTGTGTGTCTGTGTGTATATGTGTATGTGTGTGTGTGAGTGTGTGTATGTATGTGTGTATGTGTGTGTGTGTATGTATGTATGTGTTTGTATGTGTGTGTATATATGTGTGTGTGCATGTATGTATGTGTGTGTATGATGTATGTGTGTGTGTATATGTGTGTATATGTATGTGTGTGTATATATGTATGTTTGTGTGCGTGCGTGCGTGCGTGCGTGCGTGCGTGCGTGTGTGTGTGTGTGTGTGTGTGTGTGTGAAGCCAGTGACAGTCAGAGGACAGCCAGTAGGAGTCAGTTCTCTCTTCCCACCATGTGGCTCCCAGAGGCCAGCCTTAGGTTATCAGGCTTGGCTGCGGGCGCATTTATCTACTGAGCTGATTGCCAGCCCTGAGAAATGTTTTTATTGTTCGCATGACTACCTTCTGCTTTATTTGGACAGTACTTCAGACTGTCTGTATGTCCCATGCCTTGGTATTCACTGCCTTTTGCTTCTTCCCTGCTCTGACTAGCGGGCTTTCTGGTCCCATCCATATCGGCTTAAAGGTCCCTTCTATATTAATTTAAAGGGACATTTCTTTGAACAGTCTATTCCAGTGGGTCTCAGCTATTCCTCTCTAGGTCAGTGTCATGTGTCCCTGCGTGGCACATACTACAGTTGATTTTCCATGTTTCCTATGCATTGTTTGCCTGCACTAGAGCCTGCACCCAGACAGGCTTGACCTTGGCCATCTTAGTCTCCTGGCATCTAGAGTTAGTGCCCTGTGGTTTAAGGGAACGTATCCTCCAGCACAGGATGACATACTGACATGCTTTCCTTCACTGCCAATCCCTGGCTAGGCTGTGGAGCGGCTGATTCACCCCCAGCTCTGTGAGCTGAGCATCGAGACGCTTGAGCGACATGTGGTTCAGGCTGTCAACTCCAGCCCTGAGCGGGGCAGTGAGGAGGCCCTGCATGCCTTCCTGCTTGTGCACTGTAAGCTGCTGGCTTTCTACTCCAGGTAATCCTGAGGGCCTGACCTTAGCCAGAACCCTTCCAGATCCTTCTCTGCAGAACCTTGACAGCCTGGACCTGTCCCAGGTTCAGGCCTCAGACCTCAGCCCACTCCTTCTTGGGGTTGGTTCTAACCAACACTGAAAGTCTATTCCTGGTCCCTGGGGCCTTCCTGGTGATAATTTTTGTTTTTTACACAACTTTGATTTTAACAATTAGTTGCATACTCAGGGGCTCCCCTGCCCTGTCTCCACAGCCATGGTGCGAGCACCCTGCGCCCAGCAGATCTCCTGGCACTTATCCTTCTGGTTCAGGACCTCCATCCCACCCAAGACACCACAGAGGAGGATGACAATGATGACAGCAGCCCTCAGGTTGTCAACAGGTCTCAGGGCAGCACAAGGAGAGTGGGGGTGTTTGTCCTCCAACTCTAAGATGAAAGGAGAATTCTGGAGTGGGCGGTCGAGAGGATTGTGTAGACCTGAGACTTGGTCCTAGTTTGATACTTGGATTTTCCACTTAGCTGTGTGAGCTGAGCACACAAATGCTTGCCAATCATAGAGCCTGGAGTCCCTTATCTGTGCAGTGGGGGTACTGGGAACTTGGTGTCACTTATGCAGTATCTAAGAGGTAAAGGGTACAGCCTGACAATGCCTGGCATCATATTAGCCTCACCATATAATCATGTCGTCAGTGTTCAGTCATCAGGCCTAGTTCAGATACCAACAGGTCAGAATTTCCAGGATCAGAGCACCCTGGACAGTTGGAGGGTTGTGTCCCCAGGCTAGCTCACAGAGCAGGGTAAAGAGGAAGGAAAGCGTGTCAGTATGTCTGCCTGGGAGGCAGAGCTGTGGGAGTCACCACATCAACCTTGCTGACTGCATTACCCTGCCTTCCACAGTCTTTCCCCCAGAGGAGACCCCTGAGCAGCCAAAACATCCCAGTGCAGCAGGCCAGGAGCCAGAGCACCTCAGGCCCCACGAGGAGCTCTGAGGAGACGGTATGTGCTGTATGTGCCAGATGCTGAGAGGAAAGAAGGCAGCCTCATTTTGCCTCAGTCCAGGCCAGGCCTTTCCAACTCTCCCCAGGAGAGCATGTCCAGCCAAAGCAGTTAGAGAAGCCATCTGGCCTTTGGCCCTCACCTAAAGTGATGTCTTCTTCACAGGACACAGACAGCATCTCCCTCCCTGAGGAGTACTTTACACCTGCTCCTTCCCCGGGCGAGCAGAGTTCAGGTGAAGCCTGTGGATTGGATGGGTGGCATCAGGGCGCAAAAACCAGTCTGCAGCCTAGAAAATGTGTCTTGGGAGTCAGAGTCTCCTTGCTCCTCATGAAGGGCTGAGCACAAACACTTTGATGGATATTCCTCAGTTCTGCCTGTCAACCCCAGCTTAAATCCAAACACTGCTAAGATCATGCAAGTGATCCCCAAAGCTCTATATAAGTCACTAACAACAGCATGTACATGTTCTCTCTGCTTCCTCTATCTTCATCATAATTAATATTTAAATTGGTAAGTAAAATTAAGCAATAGTCCACTGGGGTTCAAGCATATTTCAGAGTGTAAATATTCGGTTTCAGCGTTTTGTTTGTTTTGTTTTCACCTTACCTATTTTTCCAAGATCTGTGAGTAAGTAGTAAAAATGCACTATTAACACTACTAATATTTAAATCGGCATTTGAATACCCAGCATTGCTTAGAGGAGGAGATGAGCCAAAAGCCAGGCTATTGCCATCACCAGGAAAGAACCAAGATCTTGGGATAAAAGGCAAGAGGGACTCTGTGGCTCACCCACCTGGCAGAAGGCTGGCTTTGCAGAAGGGACACATGGGGACTTTTTTTTTTTTTGCAGGTTTTTTTTATATTTGAATTAGAAGCAAGATTGTTTTACATGACAATCCCAGTTCCCTCTCCATCCCCTCCTCCCCTACCACTTCCCCCCAACTAAAACCCTACCTATCACATATCCTTTCTGCTGCCCCTGAATGGTAAGGCATTCCATAGGGTGTCATCAGAGTCTATCTTATCCTTTGAGATAGGGCCTAGGCCTATCCCCCTGTATCTTGGCTCAAGGAGTATTCCTCTATGTGGAATGGGCTCCCAAAGTCCACACCTATGCTAGGGATAAGTACTGAACTACTACAGGAGGTCTCATAGATTTCTGAGGTTTCCTCACTGAAACCCATGTTCCTGGGGTCTGGATCAGTCCCATGGTGGTTTCCCAGCTATCGGTCTGGGGAGCAAGAGTACCCCGATGTTCAGGTCAGCTGTTTCTGTGGGTTTCACCAGCCTGGTCTGGACCCCTTTGCTCTTCACTCGTACTTCTCTGTAACTGGATTCCAGTTCAGTTCAGTGATTATCTGTGGGTGTCTGCTTCTACTTCCACCAGCTGCTGGATGAGGGCTATCAGGTGGCATATAAGTCAGTCATCAATCTCATTATCAGGGGAGGGCATTTAACGTAGTCTCTCCTCTGTTGCTTAGATTGTTAGCTGGTGTCATCTTTGTAGATCTCCAGACATTTCCCTAGTGCCTGATTTCTCTGTAAACCTAAAATGTCTCCCTCTATTATGGTATCTCCATTCTTGTTATCATCTGTTCCACCCCTGACTCAGCCTTTCTGCTCCCTCATGTCCTCTGCATCCCTCCTCTTCTCCTCTTCTCATTCTCCTAGCTCCCTCCCCACTCTTCCCATGCTCCCAATTTGCTCAGGAGATCTTGAGCCTTTCCCCTTTTCCAGGGGACCATGTATGTCTCTCTTAGGGTCCTCCTTGTTTATTAGCTTCTCTGGCAGTGTGGATTGTAGGCTGGTAATCCTTTACTCTATGTCTAAAATCCACATATGAGTGAGTACATACCATGTTTGTCTTTTTTATGATTGGGTTACCTCACTCAGAATGGTTTCTTCTAGTGCCATCTATTTGCCTGCAAATTTCAAGATTCCATTGTGGGTTTTTTTTTTTCTCTGCTGAGTAGTACTCCATTGGGTAAATGAACCACATTTTCTCCATCCATTCTTCAGTTGAGAGGCATCTAGGCTGCTTCCAGTTTCTGGCTATTACAAATAGTGCTGCTGTGAACATCGCTGAACAGATGTCCTTGTTGTATGAATGTGCTTCTTTTGGGTATATGCCTAAGAGTGGAATTGTTGGATCTTGTGGTAGACTGATTATGGGGGACTATTTTTATAAGAGTTTGCTGGGTGCCTTCCCTAGGCCAGGGGCTCTCAGCCCTGGATGTACTCAGCATCCCTAGCCAGCTTCAGCACCGCTGACTCCGTCCTCAGACCTCAGTGCAGGTGAGCCCTGTGTGCCTTGAAGGGAACCTGTGGTGTGCACTGAGCTGGGACAGAGATTCTAGCCCCACCTGCATCCGGGGTCCCCTGATGATCCCCCCCAAACCACCTAAGCCGAGCTTGTGAAGATTCTGACTTAGTTAGGCCGGGCTGGGCAAGGTTTTCTTCCAAAGGACCCCAAATGATTTGCTGACGTTGAAGTTAAGTGTTTAGGAGCCTTAGTTAGGTATGGACTGGGCTTCAGGAAACCCAGAGATCACAGACTAGTTCATATGCTTGTGCTTTTTTCTGGGTGGGGAGGGTCCGAGTCTCCTTCAGCTTCCCTAAATATCCCATGACCCAAGGTTTGATTGCAGGCTTTGAATGGCACACCACCTTACAATTCTTCCCCTGTCCATCACAACCCTCCTGTATACCCACCCCCCGCTTTCTGGGTGGCTAGGTCTGTATGCCTCAGTGCTGTTCATAATGTTCTGGCATGCACAGATTACAAGCGGAGCAAGTGTGTCCCTAGGTTTCCAACACCTGATTTACAAATGGATGACTGCAGTGCAAGCCATTTGTAAACTGGAGTTCGTACATGCCGGTGCATTATGCATGGCTCTGAGCAGAGCCACCCAGTGGGGGGGGGTGCTTATAAATGAGGGTTATTTGCAATGAGGTTTGAGAAAGGATAATATTACAAACTTGTAATATTTCAAATACAGAGTGGCTTCAATAGGCTGGCAGGCTCCCCAGGAAGGAAATCAAGCTCAACTCCCAACACACAATGGGCGCCCAGCAAGCTTGGCGTGTGAATACTGAGTGGAGAAATGCTGGTTCACTGTGTGGGCCCTCTGAAGGGATATCTCCCCCCCCCCCCCCCCCCCCCCCCCCCCCCCCCCCCCCCCCCCCCCCCCCCCCCCCCCCCCCCCGCCTCCCCCCCCGCCCTGTGTCCAGATGCCTGCCACTGGCTTTACCCAGCAGGAAACTTCTATCCTTGATGCTTTGGGGAGCCCTGGAAATGCAGAGTTCAGCTGGCACTGGGGGGCTCTGAGGGAATGGCTTCCTGGGGCTACAGCCACAGGAAATGGCCTTGCCATGCCCAGTGCTTGAGGCTAAATGTTTTGAACTGTCAGTGATGGTGACCCCCTAAGCTGCAGGAGTGGGAGACAGGGCTGCAGGGGTCACTTACACTCTCTCGTAGTATTTCTATGCTTCTGTTCTCATTTGTGGCAGGCAGCATCCTCTGGCTGGATGGTGGTACCCCACCCACGGATATTCCTCAGGTGAGTCTCCTGTGTGCCCCTGGGCACTGCTGCTCTGAGATGCTGACAGCTGAGGCTTCCCTTCCAGGTAACCCCACCAACCACAGCTGCATCACCTTCAGGCTCTTTACCACAGCTCAGCATGGAAGCAGGGCCTGGAAGAGCAGTGTAGGTGGCCTCCCCCAAGTTCTTGGAAATGAAGGTCCAACTTAAATTTCAATATTAAGAAATTAAAGTTTAGGTATCTTCCTTCTATTTAGATATGAGAAATAACAAAAGTTAAGTATGGAAGGGACTGGGTATCACTCAGTGCCACCCTCGAAGATGGAAAATGTTTTCGGTGCTTCCTACTAGTCATTTATTATTTTACACACACACAAACACACACACACACACACACACACACACACACACACACACACACTGCATGAACATGTGTGCATACCATATGCATTTTTCTTTTTCACACTTGGAGCCTACTGTACTTCGCGTCCTGACGCCGTCTCCTGTCTACCCAGAGCCCTTCCACATCATGGCTTGTGAGGGTGTTTGGAGAACCCATCCACGCACAAGCTACTGTTTCTTCTGCGGGCCCCAGAACAATCAGCATATGGCTCCCGGTTTTTATTATTGTGTATAACTAGACTGACCTCCTCACAGAGAAATTCTTGTGATGTCTCTAATGATTTCTTTAATTCTCTAATTTTTCCCACTAAAAGATTTCTTATGCACACAGAGCCCCTTTGCCCCCACCTCTGGAGTCTTGTTCATGTAGTCATTTGATGCCTCAGTTTCCCCAGTGTGAATGTTCTGGGGGTGACTGAAACGTTGAACATATTAAAGTTCCTTCCTCTCCCTGATGGCAGAGCATCCCCCCACAGGGCGCTCTGTCTCTTCAGATGGCCCTTGACTACCCAAGCAGCTCCCGCACCCCCCACCACTGCCCATCATGACATCCAGTCCTGACTGGACAGAACAGCCCAGCAGAAGCTAAGAGACAGATAAGAGAGTGAATGGGAGTTGCTAGGACAGCTTCAGCAGCATGGAGTCCTCGGGGCTGGGTTTTCTAGGCGCTAAGCATGTTTGTTCCTTGTGACTTATAGGTAGGGCAGGGAACGGAAGCCATGGATGGGTGGGTCCCAAGTTGTAGAAGAGCCTGGACCTTTTGTCTTCCACCAGATTGACAGCTCTTCCTCCTCCACAGATGGCTGAGGGCACCCTCCGAGGGCTGATGCCACACTCCCCAGAACCTTCCAGCCCCCAGAGGATCTTCCTGGATGCCAATGTGAAAGAAAACTACTGTCCCCTGGTGCCCCACACCATGTACTGCCTGCCCTTGTGGCCAGGCATTAACATGGTGCTGCTGACCAAGGTACAGAGCTTCTGTCTCTTAGCAACTTAGCAACTTTCAGGGCCTCCCTGGCCTCTCACTGGCTGCCTCATACCACCCTGGCACCCACTCTTCCTGGCAGAGTTCCAGCACTGCACTGGCCCTGGTCCTCTACCAACTGCTGGATGGCTTCTCCCTACTGGAGAAAAAGCTGAAGGAGGGTCAGGAGCCTGGAAGCGCCCTGCGATCCCAGCCCTTTGTTGGAGACCTGCGCCAGAAGATGGACAAGTTTATCAAGAATCGCGTTGGACAGGAGATTCAGGTAAGACCCGGATGCTGCACACACCCAGCTCCAGAGAAGAGGCAGAGCTGGCAGTGAGCCAAGTTCATCCCCACTAGATGAGGGGCACACAGCTCTGGTTCCTGTCCACATTTGCCTCAGTCTGTGGCCCTAGTTGTCCTCGTGAAATGATAAATACTAAATAGCTGGACCTTACACTTTCAGAGCCTCTTTATAGGAATTTGGCAGAACTCAAATTGTAATCTCAGTGCTTTAGACAGGACATGGGCAGTCTCCCAGCTGGCCTCATGGAGAGTAGAGCTGGGGGCAAACTGAGACCAACAACTGAACCTAGGGGGAAGTCAGTGACCAGGACATCACAGGCACCCATCAAGGCCCTCCTCAAAGTGGCAGAGTTCTAGAAGAGAAGGCTCACTGATAACTTGGGGCCTCTGCTGTCGCTGGCTCTGCCTGAGTCTGTTTGAGGAGCTGGAACCGAAAAGGTCTGAAAGGATCAAAAGGGTTAGGGGAAGGAGAGTGAGTAACCAGAGCCCTGGCTTGTCAGCATGGTGTCCTGAGCAGGCATCATGGTGGCAACACAGCTATTAGAATGCTGACTTCTCACTTTGGGGAGAGTCAGCCAGGATCCCCTTGAGGCTGCTCTAACCCATCCCCAGTGACCTGCAGTGGTCACTTCCCTTCAGTCCTCAGCTTGCGCTCCCTTGAGGGACTTAGGTAGTCCCTCTGATGGGTACATGTCTGTGCCCGTCGAGGCCACATGACTTTCACAGCTCACAGAAATTGCGCTTTACATCATGCCCTGCTAAGTGACTGTCAGGAAGGCCAGATTTGGTGGCAGAAAGGCAGGTGTACCTGGTGCGTCAGGATGTGGATGGGGTCTCCCTTGGACCTCCCTGCAGAGCATGGCCCGGAACAGACCTGTTACCCTTCTTTACAGAGCTCCTGGCTAGAGTTTAAGACCAAGGCCTTTTCCAGAAGTGAAGCAGGATCATCCTGGGAGTGAGTAGCCACACTTGGGGTGAAGGGGTGTTGTTCAGAGGAAATTGCTGCAGGGTCTCCTCAGGCCCTGGGGGCCAGAAGATCCAGGGGTTGCAAATGACAGAAAGGGAGTCCCAGAGAGCTGGGGCTAGACCATGGGAGGTTGGAGGGGAATTAAGGCCAGGGACATGAGAACCTAACACCAAGCACTGAGGCCTGGGCTGTACCCAGATGCCGCACTGAGCAGGTACCACCTAAGGCAAGTCACATTCCCAGATATTAGCGTGAGATGCTGTGTGGCAAAAAACCCCACTAGGGAAAGCCAGGCAGCCGCCTCCCAATGCAGTAAGGGTGGGTATGTGGCTAGAGGCTCTATGTGTCTTTCCCTTGGTGTCACTGCCCAGGCTACTCCAGGCCTGTGGAAAGCTGAAGCGACAACTGTGCACCATCTACCGGCTGAGCTTCCTGGCCACCGCACCCAGCAGGGGAGGCCCACACCTGCCCCAGCACCTGCAGGACCAAGCCCAGAAACTCATGAAGTAAGTAAGGGCAGCATACATGCGGGAGCAGCATGTGCTGGGCAGGGCCCCCACAGCAGCCTAACTTCAGTTTCTTCCTTCTCCAGGGAGCGACTGCTGGACTGGAAGGATTTCCTGTTGGTGAAGAGCCGGAGGAATGTCACCATGGTGTCATATCCTCTGCCTGGCTAGACTAGCCCAAGAAAGCTTGGAGTCTCCAGGGCGCAAGACCCCAAGAGAAGCTAGATGTGTATTCTCCTGCCCTGCTGTTACATGCAGCCATCCATAGCAATAGCCCACGGCTGAAATCTTAGGATCTGCTGCTCCAGCATTATCTTAGAAGTCTTCAGGGACAGTTATGTCCATGTTTTCCACCCAGCAAAGCAGCAATTCTATTCCATGAGGGCCAGGATGCTCCCCTTGCTTTGAGACCTCCATGGATGGCCACAGTGCAGAGGCAGTAAAAGCACTGGGAAGGCCCACCATAAATGTGTGTCCCTGTTTCCAACACACACACACACACACACACACACACACACACACACACAGGAACTAGTTTATTTATACTGTTTTTTCAGGGAGGTTGAAGCAGCTTTTCTTGTTTAAAATCTCCCTCATTTCTGGGCTCAGTCTGTGGGATTTTGGTCTTTAGCAGGAAGGCAAGCAGGAAGCCACAAGGCCCCTTATCCACAAGCCACTGCCCTTCTGTGGGAGTCTGTTACCCTCTCAGATATGATGTTTCAGCTTCTCAGGTGAAAAACAAGATCACGTTGAGGGGTGGGCAGGCAGCCAAGCTTGTTCGTCAGCTAAGTGACTCTGTTCACACACCAACCTCAAGCTGTGTGTTGTTCCTGGAATGACCAGCTGTGAACATGCCATCTTCCTTCCTGTGGAGTGTAGATTATATTAAATATGCAGATGCCAAGGATCTTAAGACTGGATGGGGGGGCGTGGCTGAGGGAAAATGAGATCCCTGGGCCTCCGTGGAGGCAGAATCTTGCGTAGAGAAGCAGCCTGGAGCCCTAAAACTCACTTGTGTAGATCTGGAACCCCATGACCAGGACAGAGGCACCCCACTGTCCCCACTGTCACTGGTTTTTAAGCCCCTTAACTCAAGCCTTCACCTACCTGGAGGACTTCCCAGGCCTGGTCCACTTCATCTACGTGGACCGTACAACTGGGCAGATGGTGGCCCCTTCTCTCAGCAACAGTGAAAAGATGTCTTCCGAGTTGGGAAAGGGGCCCCTGGCCGCCTTCGTCAAAGCCAAGGTAACTGCTCCTCCAGATTCTCCTTGCTGCTTGTCAGGGTAGGATACACTGAGGCCTGACTCCCAACCCAGGAGAAATAGGCCATTCTGGTCTCTGAGGCTCTAATCACTTCCATCATAGCACTGCTATGCTTGACCACCTTTGCCTGTGTGCCTGACTACATTTGCCATGAGCTCCTAGGCTCAGCAGCTGGCCTTCCAGACCCAGAGGGCCTCAGTGTATATTGTCAGCCACTCCTGGTGTACTTCGGTGTGCCTGGCATCCACAGTGCTGGAGCCAGGTCAGCGCCCAGCGTAAGTGAATTCTCAGCAAGGATCTTTTGAGTTGGCTGAACTGGAAAGGACATCAGAGTCAACCAATGTAGGCATCAGAATTTTGTAATGAGTCTTTCTCTGCCCTACCAACCAGCTCCCAAATAATGACACAGAAACTTCTTATTAATTATGAAAGCTTGGCCCACAGCTTAGGCTTGTTCCTAGCTAGCTCTTATAACTTAAATGAACCCATTTATATTAATCTATGTCCTATCACATGGCGTCACCTCTCTTCCATCTTGCTCCTCCTGTTTCCCTAACTCCTGGCTTCTCCCCTGTGCCTCGATTCCTCCTCCTCGTCCTTCCTCTTTGCAGAAATCCTGCCTAGCTATTGGCTGTTCAGCTTTTTATTGCACCAACCACAGCAGTGTACAAATATCCCACAACAGAATTTGATTAATTTTGTCATGCTAGGTATGGAACCCAAGGACTCACGTACTAAGCCAGCACTCTGCCCCTGGACTACATCCACACCCAGCCAAGGGTAAAACTGGGTATTTCCTGCTTAAGAAGCGCCTTTCTCTGTTCTTCTCATTTAACTGACTCCTCTTCGTGACAGACTGGTAGTTTTCTTTTTGAAGAAAAGGGATACCACTGCCATTTCTAAAATGCTATGTTTTTATTTCATCCACATCAAGTGTGTCATGATAGGTAAAATAAGCTAGATGGTGGAAGGCCAGTATTGCAAAGCCAGTTCTGTTCTTGCCATCTGTGTGGTGTTGGCACGGTTTAGTGACATTTCAGTTCCTTTTTAGTTCAAATATCTGTTATGGAGAAGATACTGTTTACCACACAATCTTAGTGTCACAGGTGCAGGCCACTAAACACAGGCAAACTCACAGTCCTGGGGCAGAGTAGGAACCCAGCATGCTGTGCTCGGCCCAGCCATCTTCCTCGCCTGCCACCCGTTGCCTCGGCATCCCGCTCTGGGACGGGGATGACACTCTAGCCCATTGTTCTTCGTTGCCCATTGCCTTCTTCTAGGTTCATCCTGAGGCTGCTCCCTCTGCACGCATGGGCTGTGTAACACATTCTCACTTCACAGTGTGCCGGGTGCAGTCATCCTGCTGTTAACTCTTTCCATGCCTCATCTTTGGCAGCCCCGTGATGGCCCATCATGCAGAAGTGGCATAGTTCACAAAGCCATTCCCCACTGAGTGAACCTTTAGATTGTCTCCAGACTGTCACTAGTATAAATGATTTGTGGACACACCTGTGCATATGCCTAAGCCCTCATCCCTGGATGTCCTCAGAATGGATCCCTAGAAATGCAAGTGTGAAGTCAGGTGGGAGGGGAATGTTATTAAAGTTATCTATTTGTGTTGTCAGGCTGTGTTCCCGGAGCTTGTAGCTGGCTCCCGTGTCTGACGCAGATTTAATTAGATAGTACATTATGGTCAAGTGTGAAGTAAATCCCACATCCCTTCCACTGAGGCTTTTGACAGAGTGGGCCATTTCCCGGCCTGGCATGAAGTGGGCAAGCCTAGTAGGGAAGCCCCTCCCTCAGGCTGCTCTTAGGCAACCTGGGTTTCGATGCCTGCTTTAGGCAGAGCATTCCCAGGGAGGGACCTAAAGCAGGAAGTCCCTTGGGGCCACAGTTTCCAGCCACCCTGTAGTAAGACTGCACTCGGGCCTGTGTGTCGTCCCCCACCACCACCATGCAGGTGATGCCACAGCTCAGGGGTCACCATACATTTGCATGTGCTTCCCAGTGCCTCTGCACAGAGCCAGTACCACTGCCTCCCAGGCCTGCAGGGTTGGTCTGTTTTCTGAGGTGTGTGTGTGTGTGTGTGTGTGTGTGTGTGTGTGTGTGTGTGTAATAAAGTTGCATGAAGCACTTCCACATGTATTTTATCCCCACAGCAGCCAGAGGGGGAGCCCTTCCAACGTCTTTCCTGTAATGGTTTGCTCCCACTACTCTGAGCCCAGAGGCATCCTGGACTCCCAGGAACTCCTCAGCTCCGTGCGTTGCTTTTCTGTAAGGAGGACATGGACATGAGAGTGGGGCTAAGCGATCTCCTCCTCCCCAGGTCTGGGCTCTGGTGCGGCTGGCACGCAGGTACCTGCAGAAGGGCTGCACCACACTGCTGTTCCAGGAAGGGGACTTCCGCTGCTCCTACTTCCTGTGGTTCGAGAATGACATGGTGGGTGTGCCCAGTCTCTGGGCAGGACGGTCCCGAGAGCTGTCCGCTGCTCTAAACCCTTGGATCCCTTTCTTCTGCGCTGCTCCATCTGTCTCTCTCATCTCCTCTTGTCCCTGGTGAACAGCAGGTAAGCACAGCGCCATCCAGGTAGATGTGAGCCGAAGGGAGGCACTCCTATTCAGAGAAGGCATTTGCCCTGACAGTATCTTCAGCTGGACCACCTCAGTACTGCCGCCTGTGTGTACAAAGAAGGCTACACTGTGACCCCCACTATCGGGGAAGACCCAGGTCCAAAGCATCCTGCCCAAGGGTTGCTTCCAGCAGGCCCGGGTTTCTAGCTGGCCTGTGCTGTACTGTAGACCTTATTGTCACCACAGTATCACAAGGTCATTGGAAGCCACTGCCTCTCCCTTCCCTGCCCCCTTTCTATTTCTCTCCTCCTTAATGCTGACCACTCGCTTATTGCCAGTTGTGCAAGGATTACTCCTTCTCCCTCAGAGTCTCTTGTCCTGTTCCTGTACCCTTCCTGCCTCTTGCTGTCTTCCCTCCCCTCACTGAGGGTAAACAACTCAGCCTTACTATAGTGCAATTTAGTTTCTTATCTGTCCTTCACAGCCTGGGGGAATGGTTGGGATAGGTTTTGTTGACCCATTTTACAGATGGGGACACGCTGCTGTCTTGGAGATAAACACCATGGCCAAGTCTACAAAACTCAAATGATGGAGCTAGAACTCAAGTTTTGCTGCCCTGATCCTTTAGCTCCTAGTCTTCCTAAGTGCCTTCCAAGTGCTAAAGCTTCTAGGGACAGTATTTAGTGACTAGAGTGACCCCACAGGGCAGTGAGGTACACCAGAGCTATGGGAGACCAAGTTTTTAATCACTGTGACAAGCCACACAAGGGTCTCTGAACACTGCTGAGCCATCTCTCTACAGGGCAGGCCCCATGGTGCCACATGAGCCTCTCTGGAGACCCTGTAGGCACTGGGATTATGCCTCGCACAGGGTGCACACTTTACAGATCTGTCTTCTCCCCACCTTGTCCTGCCTGGAGAAGTCCCATTTCTTTCAAAGCAGAGACTTGGGGTCTTTTGAGAATCCTTAGCTTCTCAAGACCCTGGCAAGACCCCTCCCCCTCCCATACGCACACCCTGTGACTCTCCCTAGGCCTTTCTGAGCTCCTCAGTAACCCAGCCCCTCCTGTTGGTACCAAAAACTGCAAAGTGTAGTCAGAGTTAAACATTGGACCACACTCCTAGGTGTAAAGTGATGATGGCTGTGTCTGCCTCCCAGGCAAGAAAGTAAGGTAAAAAGAAGTGCAGACACTGTCCCCAGCTTGGGGCACACACAGACAGGGCTCACACAGACAGGGCTCACACACCATAGGGCACACACAGACAGGGCTCACACAGACAGGGCTCACACACCATAGGGCACACACAGACAGGGCTCACACAGACAGGGCTCACACACCATAGGGCACACACAGACAGGGCTCACACAGACAGGGCTCACACAGACAGGGCTCTACCTCACTCATCTCCCTCAAGTGCACTCTGCTCCCTCCTGTCCTAAGACTGTCCTCCTCCTCCCACAGGGCTACAAACTGCAGATGATTGAGGTGCCTGTCCTCTCAGAGGACTCAGTCCCCATTGGAGTGCTGGGAGGCGACTACTACAGGTGAGCTGACTCGCCCTACGGTCCCATGTGCCTCAGGTTTTTTTGTCAAGGGCTCGAATTCCCATAAGTGAAGGCCTTTCCAAGAGTGAGCAGCTACCTTGATAACAGAAACCAGGGAAGGGGGATCCCACACAGGTAGAGGAAGCCCCCAGAAGGGCAGCCAGGTCCCTACTGTCCCGCTGCTGGCACAGTCTTGCTGCATGGCAAGACCTCGGTAGGGGCCCCAGACTACTAATACACATGCGCCAAAACACCACTGTTCAAGGTTAGAGAGCCCAGGAGAGGGGCTGTGTCCCTAGGTTGAGCTGGAGCTTAGGAGCAATCGGTGTTGTCACACATTTGTGAGAACTGTGGGTGGGAATTCTGAGGCTGACCTTGCCTGAGTCCTGCCCTGTCTCTGGCAGGAAGCTCCTGCGCTACTACAGCAAGAGCCGCCCCTCAGAACCTGTCAGGTGCTATGAGCTACTGACCTTGCACCTGTCCGTCATCCCCACAGACCTGCTGGTGCAGCAGGCCAGCCAGCTGGCCCGGCGCCTGGGGGAAGCCTCCCGGGTGACCCTGCCCTAGGCAGTATGTGCTGTCCTCTGTCTGATCTGTAAGCTGCCTTGCTTACAGGCATTCCCAGCAGCTACGTCTTTTCCCATCCATCTCTGGCAGCCCTGGGCCCCTCAGAGGCCACCGTTGACTCCACACACACACCATACACAGGATAATGAACAAGCCTTCTCTGAAGAGAGGGAATGTTGTGCTTCTGTTGGCCTCCAGCACTGTGTGGTCAGAGGTGGCAGCAGCTTCTCAGGAGATGCTGTCACCTAGTGCTCAGGCTGTGCCAAGTTACCCTCTCCCTGCCATTCTGCATGGGGAAGCTGTCTCCTACTCCAAATGAAAGGTGCTCCCACCACTTGGGCATCATTCCAGCCTGGCTACCTCCCCCTGCAACTCTGGGAGAATCCTGTTTCTTCCTGCTTGAACTGGTAACACCTACCTCTCAGGGTGGTCAGGAGGATTGCCAAACATGGAGTAGGTGCTCAATAAATGTTGGTTCTTTTCACCATCCAAGCCTTATGTCTGCCTGGACCTGCAGCTCACTCCTGCTTGATCCAGAAAGCCCCATTCCTCTCTCCCAACCCTGCCCTCTCAGAGAATCTCCAACAAAGAAAGGGGCACCAAAAAGCCCAGTTCCACATTCGTGGTGGCTATGGCAGCTTCTTCCCTGAAGTTGCCAGCAGCTCAAATCCCCTACCTAAAGTGCTCTTTTTTTTAACCATACTTGGGCCAAGCCTGGCTGTGGTGGACACATCATCACCCCTCACCTCCAGGCTATATCAGCTCCCTGCTCAGTTCGGGTGTGTGACTTCTCTGGCCCCAATCTCTGGGACTGGAAGATGCACTCGGGAGTTGCTTTGCTCAAATAAACCTGTTCTTTTACTTTTTCAATTTGGCTTGATCTGGCTTACTATGTTGGCAGAGGAACCTATTATCGAGATACAGAAAATCTATTAATATGTACCTCTGCACTTTGCCTTTCTGGTGACACTGAGAATCTCTTGCTAAATCCAAACCTGTCTAGACAAGCTCCCCCCTGCCCTGGGACAGTGGTTCTGAGACCTGTGCCCAAGCCTGCTTTCCCCTGCCCTGGGGCAGTGGTTCTGAGACCTGTGCCTAGAGAGTCCAATTCCCTTGGCCCACATGAAGTCTGGGCTCTGCTGCCCTTTGAAGCTCCCCAGAAAAGCAGCATTCTCAGAGAACTCCCTAGGGGCACCGTGAAAAGTTCAGACATTGATGCTGACCTGCTCTTACCTCTTTAAGAGACAGACCCCGCCCCCTGACAGTGGGTGGGGCACGCACAGTGATGTGCCACGTTACTCATTATGCAGTACAGACCTGCATGAGGACTGCATGAACAAGCTCCCCCTTTTAAGCTCACACCCTTCCCTCTCCCTCCTCTCTCTCCTCTTCTCTGTTTCTGGTGGTCAACCGCTAATTCTTCTCTCTTACTCTCTGCTCTGCTCTGCTCTTCCATTTCTCTCTCTCCCCCTCTCGCTCTCCCACCCTGTAATACAACTCTATGACTAATGTACTCTAGTTAGTGTTTCATTGCGCCGGCGCCGGCACTGGCCCCATCTCAATGGCTTTATATTTTTAAACTTTCACAAAATCACTACACACAGCCCGCCCTTCTAACCAAGAGGTACCTACTTCAGGATAGACACGAGGACGGGAGCCTACCAGAATGCTGGGGCAAAGCCCAGCTCCTCTCAGACCAAGAGGTAATGCCTGGATGGAGGGAAATTCATGGTAGAAGTGTGTATCCACTATGGAAAGTGGTGGGTGCCCTGGTGAGTGCAAAGCCTAGCCTCAGGTGTCAGTCTAAAGGGACCAGACCCTCACCCAGCCTCTGCTTTAGCAGCCATGACAGGCTACAGAAAAGACCCCGGCAGGATGTAGGCCTCTGACTCAGCAAAATGTTCTGGGCTTCCTGACCTTGCCTGACCTCCTAGTCACTAGGAGGTCAGATACCCTCCACATGGCAAGGAACCAATCAGAAGTTAGCTGGTGCACTCTGGGCATGCTTTATGGTAAAACTGGTATAACAGTGGCGTGCAGAGAATAGCAACCACCCTGGGAGGGCCTATAGACCATAGCAACCACTTAACCAATCAACACAGGACAGGTTACCCAAGCCCAGAAGCACACCAATCCTGAGACTGTTGCATACCCCTAGACACTCCCCTTGCTCTGTCCAATAAATTCCCTACCTCTTGGCCCCTCCGGGTCCTTCTTACTCCAACCACTGTGTTGAACAGTTGAGGGAACCGAGTTAAGGCACTTAACTTGTTGAATAATAAAAGACTCTTAGCTTTTGCATAGGAATGGGTCTTTCGGTGATTTGGGGGTTCAGAATTTGGGCACAGGACAGACACTGGGAATAAAGTCCTAAAAAGGTGACAGTGAGAAGCACTGTCAACAGGTGATGACTCTTTCTGTGATCCTCCTTAATACCTTGCTTTTGAAAGGCTGAAAAAAGAATAAAAGAAAAACATCAAAGCATTAAAAAGAACTTTGTCTACAACCCACCACTGTTTAGGTTGTCCATGTTGGGGGGAGGGGTGCACATGTGTGCTTGAGACCAGAAGTCATCCTCACTCATGAAGCCAGCTAGCCCCAGGGACCTTCCTGTCTCCTTCCCTTAACTCCCACTCCTGGGTTTTTTGTTTGTTTTGTGGGCTCTGGGTTATTATGACTGTGTGGCAAGCACTTGACCAATCTGAGCTGAACTATCTCCCAGCCCCTAGGATACCCACTTTAAAAATATAAAAGTCTCCTCTTAAGTCTTAGTAGCCACATGGTATGAGGTGTCTAGTTTAACCAATACCCATGACTTTACTATCATCCCTGGGTATTTGTGTGGTGTATTCTAGGACCCCCTGGAGATACCAAACTCTTCAGATGCTCAAGTCCCTTAAGTAAAAGGTGTCACACTTGCTTAGTGCCCTCGAAATCCCCCCTTTAAATAATTTCTGTGTATCTTATACCAGCTAATATGCAAATACCATTTATATCTTTACCCTACCTGCTTAGTGAATAATGACTAGAACGATGTCTGCATGTTGAGTGCAGATGCAGTTGCTTTATTAATTATATCAACCATTAATTGATTGCATGGTATGGAGATAGGGGCTTCTGACTCGGGTTTTAGGAGAGATTCATGGGCAGTGTAAACCTTCCTGCTGTACAGAGTGACACCCGGGTTCTAGGTTTGAGTCATTTCTGACAGGGTTCCCATTACCATCTAGGGGCCTTGATCTAGTTCATTTTCTCTGACAGTTAAAGACTTGAAAGGCAGGAAAACAATCTTGAGAGCCACAGGTAGCAGAGAAATAAATTCTCAAACACAGCAAACAGCAGCAGACACAATCAACAGGTGAAGAGAGGCTTTTATTCGTGATGAAGAAACACGCCGGAGCATGGCCCAGAGAAAAGACACTCTGCAAAGAAGAGGGGGCACTCGGGAAACCAAAGGATTAGGGGGGTTTAAGGGTGATGGAGGGAGTTTCCTCTGCCAATTTAGGGTTGGTCAGTTTGGACAAAATCAGGGCAGGGTGGCTGAGGGAGCCACTACTTCGGGGTAAACAGGGCCCAGGCTGGTCTTGAACTTGTCATTCTGGTCAGACAGAGAAAAGTCCTTGCCAGGCGTAAGCTGTCTTCTTGTCTCCCAGAAGGATGAAGCGGGAAGCCAACCATCTTCAAAGTTCAGTCTTTATTATCTAGCCATGGTCCCTCCCCCTGTCTGTCTTCTTAGTTGGTGACTCTAACTCCCCTGGGCTGCCCAGCTCATATTGCAGCACTCTCCGCTTCCACTATCTTTCTCCTGCAGCGGTCTGACTCCTGAGGAGTGGTCCAAAAGAACCCCCATTCGAGACACACAGGGGTAGCAAGGAAGCACACTAGTTTCGGTGATTTGCATGTGTGAGTTCGAATCCTTGAGAATCTTTGGAAAACGTGAAAGATACGAAAACAAAACTGACCAGAATTTCAAAGGAGTGACCCTCAAGAATCACGACAGTGTAATTGCCCTTTGCCCAGCAAGACTTGCCTCACTGGAGCTCTCAGGGAAGTAGGTGGCCTTTTCCATTGACCAAAGGCCCTGGTGGTCATAGTGAAATGTGATTGTGGAGGCTCCCGCCACACGGAGCAGCTGCCACCTTGCAAGATCAAATTCTACCCTGCAAGCAGCTGTGAAATCTGACTTGACTATGCCACTCCCACTGGGCATGAAGCCCTTCCTGATAAAGGAGGCACAGGGAAGGCGGGGCCTCTGTTTTGGCTCCACTCCTCCCTCCTGCCCTCTTCCATGCCACCCCTGGGCCCCAGAGAACCTGGTCAACTGTTCTCACTTTGGTCCTTGCTCCCTTGAGTACTGGAGGAGGCACAGACTCTTAAGCTACCCGCCCCCTTCCCAAGTCTAGTGTGCGCAAACTCAGAGCAGCAGAAGCCCAAGCCCGGGGAAATGTGGCCCAAGGCCAAGGCTGACACTGGGCTGCAACTCCTAGCCCCTCCCCTGCCTGGGCCGCTGGAAAGCTGACGGCAAGCCAATTGCTGGGGGCAGAAATGGCTGCCAGCCTCCGAGGTCTCAGCAGAGCTTTGCACTCTTCTCCCTGCCCTGCTTGGAAACGAGCTCAGTCGGGAACCGAGGGGCGCCTGAAGCCCGAGTACGATGCCGTGGTGATAGGAGCAGGTAAATGCTGAAGAGGACAGAGCCAGAGCTCAGAGGCGGAAGGCAGTGCCCTACCCATAGACCTTTGGGGGGCCCTCCAGGGATCCCCGCTGTCGTCTCCGCTGTGGGCACTACCTGGCCAGGAGTCCCAGTGTGCAGGGTCTGTGATGGAGTCTCACTAATCTGGGAGTCATGATCCCTTGGTTCTGGTTCCCCCCTGGGCCTGCTGTGTTGTCCAGTATGGTTCTTGCCTTCTGGATTTGAATCTTTCTGTCTAGAAAGACAAGGAATAAGTAAACTCAGGAGCTCCCCCTGTCTCCTGTGAAATGGGTGAGTTCCCTCCACAAACTGTGAGTTCCCTCAGAAAGCATATGGTACCTAAGGGTTAGGAAGAAAGAACCCAGACTGAAGGCCACTCCTGCCACTCTGAGCCCTGAGTTCCGGTACCCATCTCACCACTGAGGTCACCCATCCAAAGAGAAAAGAGTTGATTCATAAAGAGAAGAGGGATTTTGGGGGGGGGTGTCCCAGACACCCTGTTGTGCACCCACAGATGGTGCCTTCCCTCAGACATTGACACCTGTCGCCGTGGTGGTCCTGCAACATTTTGCTGACTCGGGCTCAGAGCACTGAAGTGTGCTAGGCACAGCCTATCGCCAGGCTGCCTTCCACCCCAGGGCCTTCTGGTTCACACTCTTGGGGCCTGAAGGATTTATTTGCAGCTGGTCTCTACATAGATGATATCAGGTTCACACTTTCGTGAGCACGACAGCACAGCTTCAAATGCTGGCCTGGTTTGGCTTCTTTGTGTGTGCTGAGAGCCATGCTCTCCAATGGGTACACACACATGGATGATAATTGTGCTTATTACCGATACTAAAATAAAGGTGTCTCACACAATCTTAAAAATCAAATCTACACTGTCCCTGATTTAAATGCCATGTTTTTTGATTGAGAACACATCGACCCAGCATGCCACACAGGGAGTGACCCTTGAAAAGGGTGGCGGCAGGGCCCCAGCTCAGCAAGCTCCATTCAAGGGCCATCACCTGTGGAGTGGGCAACCCTGGAGGCCTGGGGTTAGCAGATCGGCAGCAGAAGGGGACAGGTCACTAGAAGCCACCAGAGAGTCAGCTAGGAGTTGGAGGTAGGATTCTAACTTTCAGATCTTTGTCACTTGAATTCGGTTTGTCCATTTGTGACTGAGCTGGGACCAGTTGGCCAGGAAGATTTTAGTAGTTTTCTAAGATTGGTTAGTACCAGTAATGAAAAACCAAATTGCTGCCATGTTTGTTAAGGTCCTGCAACAGGCTGAGTGCTACTCGGATACTACTGAGTCTCCTCCCTCAACGCGGCAAGGTTCCACATTGACATGAAGAATACATGTTACATACACATTACTCTCTGCCTTGCATGTGAAGGCAGCCACTGGTTGTTAAATGCCTCTCTGATGCGGGGAACTGCCTGCCTTGAATGTGCATGTATGTTCAGAGAGTGGCTTCTCCAACTGTGGGCTCAAATCAATGGCAGGTCCAACAAGCATTATTTTAAACGTTCTCATGAAACATTTCTAACATCCTTAAAATAAAACCACATAGATTGTCATACAGACTCATCACAGGAAGGGTTAATGCTAGGGCAGGGAGCTTTGGTTCCGTGAAAACATTTGTTAGCCAGCCGTGTGCCAGGTCATGGTGCAAGGTACATTTCTGCTTGTGAATTGGGAGCAAAGGGGCTTGAAAAATCCACTTTCAGAGACTCCATTAATGGATGAGAAGTTGGCTCAGTGACCTCTAAAATTTGGGATGTCTCCATGTGGGAAATTTAAAACAAAAACAGCTCAGTCGTGGAGAAATTCATCACGGGGGTCATTGCTGGCCCACTTCTTGTGGACATTTGTCAGGTGAAGAATTGAGAGTTTTATTTGCATCCACACTGGGTCCAGGTAGGGCCTGAGAGATCACAACCACCTACTGACATCAGAAAGGCTAAGAGTGGCATTTGTCACCAAGGAGAAGAATGATGGGTGGCTCCAAAGCTGGCTGATACCCTCTGGGCCTCTCTCTGCCTGTGAATGACTCTCCGCCAATAGCTGAGCTATCCCAAGAGAGTGAACAGCCTGGGATCTGGGCCCTCAGTGTAGCTCTGATGCCACTTGCAAGGGAATTACTGGGAACTTGGGAGAAATCAGGTTCCAATACATGCCCCAACCTGGAATGGAGCCCACCTTGTTACTGGTGCACACCTTGAAGGTATATTAGTCACTTCATTTAAGAAAAAAATGAACTCTTGCTATTTCCTTGGAGCACTGGAGACTGACAGAGATATTCCTGTGTGGATAAAGCCCTTAGGGGCACAGCTGTGCCTGGTATGAGCCACACATGGGTCAAACAAGCTATGTGTGACAACAACTGTTCCCTGAATGGCACTCAGCTGCCCACACTACCAGCAAGTGGCCACGTGCCATTCACAGCCCTGTAAACCATGATGGTTCCACACATGGTCACCAGCTCCCAGTAGGGACAGAAGTCTAGAAACTGTGGACTTCCCCTTGACCTTGAAACAAGGAACAGAGCTTCTTCAAGCCACAATCAACAGAACCGGGGTGGACTTCCTGACTCCCCCATGAGATGCTGTCCGGCATCCAAATGTGAACGGGGGAGAAGATATCTTTGGCCTGGGAATAGGAATGGGGACTCGACATTAAAAGACCTTGCATTTAGTAACTCTTCTCTTTTGTCTGATTGCAGGACACAATGGGCTGGTGGCTGTGAGTATCCCGTTGGTCCCACTTCACGGGCCCCTGAGCAACTGGCTCCCAGCAGGGAAGGGGAGGATTTAAGAGCAAGCAGGACAAAGGCCACTGGGGAGAAGGAAAGGGCAGTTTGTCCATGCATCTAGTCTCAATCCAGGGCTTCCTTCCTTGTCCTTTCCCCAAGTCATGGGTCCCCATGGCCTGTGAAAGGCTTATGAAATGTCACTGGAATGGAGGAGCGTGTTGGAGCTTGGGGCTGGAAGGGTCTCTCACACCAAGTTGGAGATAGTCCGTGCTCCCCAAGGAAGAGAGTGTTGGAAAGAACTGAGAAAGGGTCGGAAACAACCGGAGTTTAGTGACAAATAGATGCTAGAGAGTGGAGAGGCAGATGCAGGCGCAGCAGATTTGGGGGGACATCTATACATCAAGCCGAAGAGCATGGTGTAGGCCCTGCAGTGAGGCTCCTTGGTCAACCCCAAGAGATCCAGAATGGGCCCTCTGTCCTCCCAGGCGGCATACCTCCAGAGACTGGGGGTAAACACTGTGGTCTTCGAGAGGCGCCATGTGATTGGGGGTGCAGCTGTCACTGAGGAGATCATTCCAGGTGAGCCCCGAGAAGTGGGTGGAGATGCAGGGGTGATCACGGGTGACTGGTTCTCCTGATTTGATTCCAGGATTCAGGTTCTCCCGGGCATCCTATCTTCTCAGCCTCCTGAGGCCACAGATTTACAAAGACCTGGAGCTGAAGGTACAGCTGCCCCTCTTGGCCTGGTGATTGGTCATGGGTGGGGGTGACCCCATTGTCCTGACCTGGGAGGGAAGCATCATACCCCATGTCCCTATCAGTGCCCTCCCCTCCCTGAGGTCTTCCTTCTCCTCCAGGGTGTCTGTCCCACACATCTCCACCACATGCCACAGCTTGGTTTTGTCTCAACTATCCTCTGTTTAAAAGGCTTGGAAATCTCAAACGAGAAACAGGCCTCTTGTAAAACAAGGTCTGTTAGCATCAGACCTTCAAACTGCATGGCAGCACCTGGCTCTGTCCTGGCTCCCTTGGCCTCCTGGCATCTTACTTGGTCTTCATAAAACCCTTGCATGCAGCTTTGGGCACCTGAGTTTGCAAAGCTGCCTAGCATGCCCTTGTTAAACTTTGGCACATCTGCCACCATTCTTGACAGCACGAGCAGAGAACAGTGTCACTGCAAGCAGAGTCCCTTTGCGTGTTCTTGGTCTCAGCGATAAAAAGAATTTAAAAACAGACACAGAAAGGAACTCAGAGACAATTTATTGGAGTTAGAGGGAGATGCCCTCAATGTGGATGTCAAGGTATCAGGGGAAAGAGCTGGAAGATGAGGGGTAGACAGTTATATTTTAAATAATGTGCAAAGCAAAAAGTCATGCCAGTGAGACACAGTATAGGGTATAGGCACACCGGAGAAAGAATCGGGTACCCATGGCCTTAACCCTGGGTTTTTATTGGAGAAGTATAAGATTGCCCTCTTCTCGGGATGGCATGGGCCTTGGATGCTCCACCTTTTAAGGCCTAGCCAAAAGAGAATAATTAAGCTTGGGATCATTTGAGTTAAACTTATAGTCTACTAAGAGTTGCTCTGGGTGGCCTAAAACTTGGACTGTACCTAAAACAGGGAGGAATGATAAGTTCACCCTCGGTTTACCTTTGACTTGTGTGACCAGGGAGGAATAGCATTTATTACCATTGGTTTTCCCTTTAATTCTGTTGACATTGAGCCAGGTGGGACTACTTGTATTTACTGTCATCAGTTTCCCTTTTAGCTATGTGGCCAGGTTAAAGCCCTAGCTTTGGTTCATCTCTAACCCTGCCTTTAGTGACAGACAGCTGAGGACCTTCAGGAGGCCAGTGCTGGCTTATTTTTAATCTAGCCATGAAAGGCTAGAGTGTGAAAACAAGTTACAGGCAGCCTGGAGATTTTCCGTTGCACTACCTGATACCTGCTCCCTTCCCCCAGCAGCCACCCCCCCCCATCCTGACAACAGGCTTGCAGTGAAGGTCTGACACCTTTGGGAGTACCACTTAGGAGTGTAATAGTACAGTCTTAACAGAATAGTTGTTTGTCCCACTTTCATTGTGTTTTCTTGTCTTTGGCTTGGCCTTATTTAGTTGTAAAATGGGACTTTGTCTTTAATGAGTGTGATGATCTTTGCCTAAAAAGAGACTCCCCTGCCTCACCTGGTTCAGACTTTTATAGAAGGAGTTACTGACCACCACTATGCCATTTGTCTCAGGGGACTGGGTCCTCTTCTGGCTTCTGGGACATTTGGAAGGGATCCTGGAAGCTCTTTCCCTGCCCCCTGTTCTCTCCCAGTCTCCTAACCTTTGTCCACTGGCATGCCTGCCTCTGCCCCCCTCCTCCTTCTAGCAGCCTCATGAGCTCAACCATTTCATGCCTGAGACTGACTTAGCTCCAATGTGCTGGCTGGGTGCCCTCCTGCCTTGGGGCCTCCTATAGTGTAACGAGTCCTGCTCCAGTGGCAATGAAGAAGACACACAGCCACTCTTTTCTCTAATAGAACCAGGTACAAGAGCCTGTGAACTAGGTGATAACAGAGTCCAAATGAAGAAATTAGTATTTGAGAGAGAAAGGTTGTAGAGGAGACATAGTATCAGAAATGGATAGAACTTAGCCAAAGCCTGGGGTTAGGTCCAGGGTCTTCAGTCCACATCATACTATAGCCAAAGGGAATTTGTATTATGGCAGATTTGGGGCAGGGGGAGGGCGGAGAGGCAGCCTCAGCCTTCCCTCCCATTCCTGGAGGATCTTCCAGGTCTCCTCCATCCACATTCCTTCTGCTCGTGCTTTATTGGAGAAATCTGCCAACGGTAAGGCCCTCAAACCTAGCAGTTGGGTAGGAACGACCTAGGTGCTGGTAGGGAAGTGCAGAGTGCCAAGGTTCTTGCTCGGAAGCCTGCTTTTATAGTGGTGGGACCCAGGAGTAGCCTTTTACAGCATTCTCCGGTCCGGTCCTTTCCTATCCTCTCCACCTGGGGTGGCTGTGCATGATGAGGCTGAGGGTAAGCCAAGGAAGGGGCTGCTTTTGGTTCTGTCACTTAAAACTACCTGTGTTCCCTGAACAAGCTCTTGGACATCCCAGTGGTAGTTTAGCATTATCTTCCTCTCCCTTCTTCCTTCTCATAATTGAACAGTCAGGAATGACAGAGGTACCACTTAGAAGCCCCAGAATCAGTTAAAAAAAATCACCCATGTTCAATTAGTTACACTTGAAATAACTCAGCTTCCCCTAGGCTGTTTATCGACTGGTTTGTTCAGTGTTTCCAGAGTGCCTGCTTTGTACCCAGCCCAGAACAAGCCTGGAGGGAGGTACATGGGGGAGGCAGAGACACAGTAAGAGAACTTTAAGTAGAGGTAAGTGACAGAAAGAAAAACAGAAGACAGTGTGATGGGAGGAAGTAAAGTCCCACCCTCACCTGGTGACCAAGAACTCCTTGAAGGGATGACACATAAGCTGATGTTCAAATGGCAAGAAGTCCCTGGTCACGTGAACTTCTGATCACAGAGAGCTCTGGTCAGAAAATGTGCAAGTAGGCAGAACAGGCCCCGGGAGCCAGAGCAGTTCAGAGGGAATTCAGGGAAGGAGGTCAGGGCAGCTCACACCAGGACAGCATCTCATCCAGGAACAGTGAGAAGGCAAGAGGTGTTCATTCAGGAAGCAGAGTGTGTGATTTACAAGTTTAAAGAAGATTAGCCCCCTGGCCATGATGGAAATAGCATGGAGGCTTCTAGATACCGGTGGCAGCTGCTCAGTGGACCACAAGATGGCAGTCTGTGATGAGGGCACAGGGCTGGAGAGGACTGGACAACTCCTGCAGACAGAGCTGATGAGACTTAGCAGTATAAGAGGTGTCAGTGGTGAGGGGAAGGGGGGAGCTGAGGATACCCTCCACAGTTAAACAGTTCATCATGGTAAGAGGACACAGGGCAGGGGCTGAAGAGCTAGCTCAGCACTTAAGAGCACTTCCTGTTCTTGTAGAGGTCCTGGCTTCAATTCCCAGCACCCACATGACCATTCACCACCATCTGTAACTCCAGTTTCAGAACATCTGATGCCCTCTTCGGACCTCCACAGGCACCTGGCCCACAAGGTCACACACACACACACACACACACACACACACACACACACACACTCTTCGGACCTCCACAGGCACCTGGCCCACAAGGTCTCACACACACACACACACACACACACACACACACACACACACACACACACACAATACCTGTATACACAAAATTAAGTTTTAAAAAGAGGGCCCAAGGAAGAAGTTGCTCCAACTTGTAATAACGATATCTTAAAAGAAAAAAGCCCAAAGTTGCTCCAGCCCAGACCCTACCCACATTTGCATTCTGCACTGTAGAATCCCAATGCCTGGGTGATGGTGTCCACTGGAAAGTCTCTGGTTTGAGCATCTCCTGGGGTGCTGGTAGGATCTTCTTTTGCTTTCTTGCTTTTATCCTCTGAGGCTCTATCTTGTCAGCTACATCCAGTCACTAGAACACTTAGTGAATGCACCACACCCATATGAGGAATACAGCAGTGACCAAACAGACAATGTCCCCACCTCAAAGTACTTGTATTTTGCTCAGAGAGATGAAGACAAATATATATGTAATTAACAGGTGGTGACAAGTATTTTGGGCAAAGTACAGGTTAAGGGGACAGAGAGCCTGCCAGTATGGTTGGGGCCTGGGTGAGGCTTGCTGGTAAGTAATATCTGAGCAGAGACAAAAGAGAGGGAGCAGGCCATGGGACAGGACAAAGAAGTCTCCAGAAAACAGCCACAGTCAGCCCAAGTGATGTAAACACACAGTCTCAGCCACAGGCAGTCCAACCGATGTTAGCCCACAGTTGTTGCCCTGGCTCAGCCGCAGTCTGATGTTAGCACATGGTCTTGGCCACAGGCAGTCCAACTGATGTTAGCTCACAGTCTGTTGTTGCCCTGGCTCAGCTACAGTCAGCCCAACTGATGTTAGTGCACAGTCTTAGCCAAAGACAGTCCAACTGATGTTAGCCCATGGCCTGTTGTTGCACGGCTCCTTTGGAGAAGTATGTCCTCTCTGGGAGCTCGGTATGCTGGTGAAACACCTGTAAATCAAATCCTGATTTAAATGTCTCAAGGGAACTTCCACTTAAAATGACCTTGTAGTAAATTAGACCGCCGTGTAAATTTTTTAAATGATGTGACTAATTTATCCACCTTGTACATACGGATTTTCACAGAACCGTTGCTTTACAGATTACTTTTAAAGTTTACTTGTTTACTTCTGAAGTGACGGGAGGCAGTTATAGATGAGGGTCCCAGGGTCTTGGAGTCAGCGATATGTGGTTTTAAAATACAGATCTGCCTTCCAAAGTGACATGGGGCAAACTATGTACCTCCTCTGACCCTCCTTTGTTACCTGTATGGAGAGGAAAAACGTCTCTAGAGTTTTAGTGTAGTAGTGACTGTGAATCTCAGTGCCCTTTCTGATGAAGTGAGATAAAGTGGATGGGTGGGGCAGTGGGGTGTGTTAGGTATGGGGTGCAGATAGAGTGACTCCAAAGCCACAGAGAAACCCTGTCTCGAAGAAAAAAAAAAAAAGATAGGAACCAGGTCTTTACACCTTGGGACCAATCACAAACACACCTAACTGGTCACACAAATGGCATCAGAGAAAGGGCAAGGGCAGAAACATGCATGGATCCCTAAAATGCCTATGCTTTTTGTGTTCTACAGAAGCATGGGCTGAGGCTTCACCTCCGAAATCCCTACTCCTTCACCCCCATGCTGGAAGAGGGTACACTGAGCAAGTTGCCCAGGTCCCTTCTGCTGGGCACGGACATGGCTGAAAACCAGAAGCAAATCTCTCAGTTCTCACAGAAGGATGCTCAGGTATGGAAGCAGGCTCTTGAGAGGAAAATGGAAGTCAAGGCTGGGGAGGCTGAGCAGGCCCTGGACAACTTGGTGCATGCTAGCCTTTGACCTCAGGCATTCTGAGAAGGAGTGGTGGACGGTGGTTGAGACCCGTCGACACTGGGACTCGAAGAGCCTGTGTATGTTCATCTGAGGCTGATGAGCAGGTGGTCTCTGCATGCTGAATGTCAGAAAGGGATCCCTGGAATGCTTTATCCCCCTGCTCTTACTCAGAACCCCACATGTTATCCATCCTAAAGCTCACAAAAAGAACGTAGGGCCAGAAAATATTCTTTCAGTTTGACATCAACCCATGACAGCCAAAGCAAGGAAGTGTCTGTGGCGGTGTGCAGATCTGCCTCCCAGAACACACACCAGATGGAGAGTGCAAGCTGCTTCCTGCAGATCTAGTGCAGGAACACACTGGCTGGCTTTGTCCAGATGAGTCAGCGGGTGACGCAATGGGCCTGGTATGGAGGGTTCTGCAGTTGAGGAAATGTTCTAGAATGGCCGCTCTTGTAACAGCCTGGGCGCCAGCTGCAGGTGTGGCACCAACCCTATCACAGAGGAGGCATGCTAATGAAGAAAACCTAGGCTCATGCAGTCCATGTGCTTGCTTTCTGGTGTGCTAATCTAGCACTGGGCAAAGCCCAGATAGCCACAGGCGTATAGCACTTTCCCCTTTACCCAGAGCATCCTAAGCCTGGCTGTGTTAGCTGCTATTCGCCAGACTGTGACCGGCATGCAGACTAGAAGCCGCTTAAAGGAAGAAGGATTTGTGCTGCTTGTTGTTTGAGAGGGAACACTTCCTGGTGGGAAGACATCATGCTGTCAGGAAGGCATTGTGACTGGAGCAGCCCACAGCTGTGGCAGCGGGAGTGCGAGGTGCTGGATGTTTCTTGTTGGCTGTCAGGAGAGCTCGGTGGAAGCAGAGCCAGCCTGTAAGCCCTACATCTTGCCAAACAGTCCCCATGTCCTCTCTTGAGCAGCAGCATCTCATCCTCATACCTGAGCCTGTGAGAGATGTTTCTGATGGAGATCATAGCACCTGGCTGACAGTGGAATTGCCCTCCTGTCATCAGGAACATCCGATGCAGTGTGCTGAGGACCAGCCTCTGCCCTCGCCTAAATCCTGCCGCTGTCAGACATCAGTGGACCTGTGGACATCAGTGCAAGGCCAGGTCCCAGTGCCTGTGTGCCTATCTGCTAGTGACAACACCGTGGGAGACCTAGGACATTTCCCAAGGAATCCAAAGACTCAGTTTATGGTTTTGTCCTTGAAAGTTGTCATTTGGCAAGCCTGGTCTAGGGAAAAGTTTATTATCTAATTATGATTTTTAAGAAGTTCTTTACCACAGAACTTTAGGTAATACCTCAACTTCCTGGGTTTATCCCTATGTCCAACTTCCAGCCCTGTTCCTACCACCAGCCCATGAGAGGCAGGCAGAGTCTGGAACACTGCTGGAGGGGGCTGCTGAGTGAGAGGATGCAGGCTTCTGTGGTTGTATGGGATGAGGCAGCAAGTGGTCAGTGTGTTGGGGAGACATCAGCCTTCCATCAGTCACAAGCAAAGGACACAGAGCTTCTAAATGATTTATATCACAGGGCTCTACCTGTACCCTCAGACACTTGGCAGTTTTGTGTAGCTGGGTTTGACCCATACCGGCTCTTGGCCCTGGAGGCTGTTCTGATGCTCAGGCTTCTCTGCCCTTCACATGTGGGAGTGAGAACTGAGCAAAGCCAAGCTGAGTCACAGCTAGGGATGTGGCCTGAGGAGCCATCAGGGCTGCACTATGGGGTATGACAGCCATATCAAAGTGTGACACAGAAGACCAGGCATGGGGATGGTATTCTGGATTCTGTGGGATTCTGGACCGTTGAGTGCTAACCTGAAGCTCTGTTGCAGGCCTTTCCCAGGTACGAGGAGTTCATGAGTCGCTTGGTGCTAGCCATTGACCCCCTGCTGGATTCTGCCCCCGTGGACATGGCAGCCTTCCAGCATGGCTCCCTGTTACAGAGACTCAGGGCACTGTCCACCCTGAGGCCCCTGCTGAAAGCAGGTAAGTCTAAAGTACAGGAATCCGGGTGTAGAAAGTGACCTCCATGGAAACAAGCCCACTTTCTGGATGCCTGGATCTAGCTTAGAGCTCCAAGACAGCACCAGTGTGTTACAGCTCTAGGAGGAAAGGTATCCTGGAAGTCAGGAGCCAAGGAATACCACAAAGTCATACAAGAGATTTATTGGGAGAGACGGCTGCCTCTGCTTGGGCAAGAAAGAGCAAAGAACTGGGAGGAGCAGGCTTTCTTGTGGTTGGAGCTTTCCAGGATAGAACTTTCCAGGGTGACCTGGGATTGGTGGGATTTTGTGGCCTGATTTTTTTTTTTTTCTGTAGGGCAGAGTTTGGCCACCTGAGTCTTGAGTGGCTGGGCCAGCTAATGGACCACAGAGACTTCCAGGCACTCCCCCCAAAATTTCATTCTACCCTACCCTAAAAATAGGGCCCAAGACAAAGGGTTGTGTTTACTTAGAAGGGTGACCCCCAAGTCACCAAAGGAGGGAAATGAAGGAAGAAACTCCAGGGTACATTAGTTACTTGTGTTACTGTGATAAATACCATGGCCAAGTCACTTAAGGAAGGAAACGTTTATTTTAACTGGAGGTTTCAGAGGGTTAGAGTCCATAATGGCAGAGACAGCATGGCAGCAGGTGGGGGGGGCAGAAAGCTGGAGGATCAAATTCCATCCACATGCAGAAACCAAAGAGAGTGAAAACCGACAGAAGGGAGGAGCTATAAACTCCTAAGCCCCACCCCCAGCGACACACCTCCTCCAGCAAGGCTCACTCCTGAAGGTTCCGCAACCTCCCCCAAAAGTGCCAACAACTGGGAACAAGTGTCCAAATATGTAAGCCTAGTTGGGGGAAATGTTTTACTCAAACCACTTAGAGGGATCATCAGTACTAGGGTGCATGTTGGCACTGGCCATGGGTGGTGGGTGATAAGACACTGGTCCTGCCGAGACTCTCCGCAGAATGTACTTTATAGGAGGTATGCAGGTCCTTGGCCATTTCCAAGAGAAGAAAAGGGCCTCGTCCCCCACTGGTCAGGGGTTGCCTCATGAAACAGTGGCCTCTGGGTCATGCATCTGTAGATGAACTGACATGCTTCCAGAGAAGAAAGGAGAGGCCCGTCTCTCAGTGGCCTCCGCTTGATGCTGTAGGAATTCCAGTGTGTGAAGCAGATCAGAGCACAGAGCTCATTGCTGCAGCCACAGCTAGAACATAATGTAAGAGCCAAGAGAATCTGAAGAGTTGCCTCCAAATGAGAAAGAATACTAAATTTAGACCAAAAATAATAAAAGATCTGTGATCAATTAGGGCTCTCGAGCAGAAGCTTGATCAAGAAGGATGCTGTTATTTTCTACCACCCTTTGGGTACACAGACAAATTCCCATAGCCTAGAAAAATACTGAATCAGTTAGCTATGGTCACAAGAAAAAGAAACCCCACAAAACTCCTTTGGCATCTAAAAGTCAGCATTTATTTCCCATGGGTCTTTGTAGTTCGGTTGATCCCAGCAGGCTCAGTTGGTCTGTCTGGTCTCATACACATGTCTGTGGCTGGGGACAACCAGCGGTGCCCACTCTGCTCTCTGTGTCTGTCATCCTGTGTGGAAGCAGCTTGCTACACTGGGCGTGCACTTCTTACAGCAGTGGAGATGCACAGGGGACGTTACAAATCTCCATCTGTGACACATTTATAAATATTCCGTTGGCTGGCAAGCTACATGGATAAGTCCAGAGTCAAGGTTAGGAGTAGGTCAGCCAGCTATGGCGGGTGGTCATCACAGCATTTATACAGCAGAGAGTCTGGAAATGGCGGGAATGAGTGGACTTTGTCATCGACACCAAAAGTAGACACTCCTTTTCAGATTACCAGTCCTACGAAGCTTCATGCAATTACCATTCATTTTAATAAATATTTATTGAGCAACTACTTTTGCCAACTACTAAGGTTTACAGAGGGACCACAATGGCCAGAACCCTGTCCCGCTGCTAAAATGTAACTGATGCTCACAAAATTAAAGGTCTTTTCTATTTCATTGAATCCTTACAGTAGCATGAGAAATATGTCTTCAATCTTACAGAGAAACAGACTCAGAGCTGAAGATGGTTAAAAAGGGGTGAAAACAGACACTGCTCTTGAATGTCACACTGTCTCCACCAGTCTCTGCCTCTTCCTGTTCTTTCTTCCCTGGGGATGGGAACAGTCTCCTCAAGGGTTGTCTCATCTGCTGTTTCTACTTCTCTTTCAGGGCGCACCCTGGGAGCCCAGCTCCCCCAGTACTACCAGGTCCTCACAGGCCCCATCTCCAAGGTGAGTGTGGCCAGATGATGGCCTAGGGACTTCTCCTGTCACCCAGGCCCTTGAGCCTTTCTGTGGCTTTGCTCTCCAGGTGCTAGACCACTGGTTTGAGTCTGAGCCTCTAAAGGCTACTCTGGCAACAGATGCTGTGATTGGAGCCATGACAAGCCCCCACACTCCAGGGAGTGGGTGAGTAGGGACCAAGGTGGCTGGGGGTGAGCGGGGAGCGGGTGGGGGGACTGATGAAGAGGAACATACTTCCCAATGAGAGGAAGCTCACAGACTGCCATTTTCTGAGCTCAGCTCGTGCGCCAGTCATGAAGCTCCGCATGTCATGCGTGTTGAATGAGCTCTCAGGGTCATATCTGAAAACGAGTTCAAAGAGGTGTCCTGCCCAAAGTCACATAGTTAATGCGAGGCAGAGCTGACTTCCAGTGCATGCTGTCTGAACCCCAGCTACGCTTTTCCAGCGTCTCCAGGAAAAGCCTCTTCCTGCTCTCGGGGTCTTCTGTCCCCATCCTGCGCCTCCTCTCTCCCTCCTGACTTTGTGCAAAGCCCATGTCTCTCCTCTCGCTGCATACTCACTCACTGGCCTCCTCCCAGGGATGAGAAGCTGCCCTGCTCTGTGAGCAGATGTGTCTGGAGCCCAGGCGGAGAGGGGCCGTCAGACACCGTGAGGGCTGTGCTTGTGGTTGTGAATGCGAGAGTTGTCAGTGAGGCTTATCTCTCCAGGATGAAGGCAACCCCCAAGAAGTGGCTTTTCACCAGAGGTCAGGCCAGTCCTGAATCCCCCAGGGCCAGGGAGAAGCATCAGCAGCATGTATGTCACTCTGCCAAGCTCTTAACTAACCAGCCAGTGTGGATCTGGGGCCTCCTATCCTTTTCTCTCGGGGTCCCAGGGAAGCTGAGCTCCTGGCCAGCTTGTGCAACATGCCTTTTAGAAATCACTGCTTCACTTAACCCTAACCCTGATAAGCACCTGCCTGTGCTGGGTGCTAGAGACACCCGCAGTTAAGGGACCAGAAATCCTCACAGGAGAGAGACCCGGAGCAAGAAACCACGAAGCATGAAGTGTGTTCTAATAGTGGGTGAGCAGGGAAAACCACGCTGCTGTAAAAAAGCCCTGAAGCAAGAAATGTGTGGTCTGAAACAAGGGGAGAAGAAGGGGTTTGCTTGAAACAAAGACAAGGAAGGTAGAGGCTCCCAGTTGGTGGCACAGCAGGTACAGAAGCCGGAGTAATATGGACACTCCATTACAGTAACCAAAGGGGCTCGGCTTAGCAGGGATCTGCAGTGCAAGGGAGCATGGTTGGAACAGGCTGATACCAGACAGGAGCCATGGACACCACCGATGAGACTGGCCTTTCCCCCTCAGGCAATATTGTGCGGCAAAAGCTTTGAAAGGGAGGCTGACAGGATCCAAGCTCTACAAGGCTTGGCCTCAGGGAAGCAAGAGCTGAGGAGCACAGGTGGCCCTGGTCTGCCTGTGTCTGAGGGAGAGAAGAGAGAGGCAGCTAGCAATGGCATCTGAGCATTCTGCAGGGCTGGTACACGGTCAAGGAGGACACCAGGCTTTCTGTGGGAACCCTTCATTTGGGTGGAGACACTGAAAAGCTCGGAGAATGGTGGAGATGCTGGGTTTACCGTGCATGCCACAAATGCATGCATGAAGGGATGCCTACGAGAGAGAGAGAGAGAGAGAGAGAGAGAGAGAGAGAGAGAGAAGATGGTGCCTGAAGGGATTACAGCACGGGGAGGCTGGAGTCCTGTGCCGCATGTGTGCACAGGGAGAGAGTGTGGTGTGAGGGGCAGGGCACTGCGCTCGTGAAAGGCTCAGGCTAAGGGCCGCATTGGGAAGGAGGAGTTGAGGGTCCGGAACAGAAAGGGTTATCTGCAGCTGAAACTGAGATGGAATCCAGCCTCGGCCCCTGCTGTTGTGTTCTTCCCTCAGGTATGTGTTGCTTCACCATGTGATGGGAAACCTGGAGGGGATACAGGGCGCCTGGAGCTATGTCCAGGGTGGCATGGGTGCCCTCTCTGATGCCATTGCAAGCTCAGCTACTACGCATGGAGCAAGTATCTTCACAGAAAAGGTGTGGGCCCCACTCCCCCATGCTGACTTTTGGCCTGGATGTAGGGTAGGATAGTCTTCTACCTCTGATTTAGGAAGACCCTCGAATTACTGATGGACAAGGGAAGCCCAGAATCTGGGCTCTACACTTGTGAGGCTGCTGGCAGCTGAGTAATTGTCACTTGTCATCTAGGCCCATCCTCCTGGTGAACCCTTCAAGCCCACGTGTCATGAAACCATGGGTGGACTGGGTTGCATCAGTGTTCCCCCAGAAGCCTCTGATTTGGGTCATGGATTGGGGGTGAGGAAGCTTGGGTGCCTACGAGCCACACCCACTATTCTCAACCTGGGCTTCTTTCTGGGGGCTCTGGGGGTCTCTTGCTGGGGCTCCAGACTGTGGCTAAGGTTCAGGTGAACAGTGAAGGCCACGTTCAAGGAGTCATACTACAGGATGGCCAGGAGGTGAGGAGCCGAGTCGTCTTGTCTTGTGCCTCACCACAGGTCACCTTCTTGGAGCTGACGCCACAGGTGAGGTGGTTCAGAGGAGAGGTAAAATATCTGCTGTACGAGGCTTGGAATGTGGGGTGGGGAGCCCAGGTTACATCAGGGTGGGAGATCCAAGGACTAAGCCTCCTTCTCTGAGGAAGACAGCAGCTTGCAAACAGTAGAGAAGCCTTGTGGGTGAGAGGGCCTAGGCCATACAGCCTGCAATAGGCCAAGCTAGTGCCAGAGCCCAGGTCTGCCTTGTAATTCTTATGACTTGTCTGCTACCTACATTTGGTTTTGCCCCTCTCACTGTCCCTGACTCCACCATCTGCCAATGATCTATTGCAAAATTAACACTGTGAATGGAGGTTTGGGAGGCTTTGGGTTGTGTATTGTTTTGTTTTGTTTTGTTTTTAGCACTGTTATAAAACTTGTGGGCAGATATGACCTTAGCTCATAGACAGGGAGATAAATGGTTGATCCTGAGTTGCTGCTGGGGCTTGCCTTCACCTTCAGTGGCTGTGTCTCTGCTGGTCTTGACTGGGCTTAGATCTCTGAGTAGGAACTGGCTGGCTGTGGTTGGTCCAGAAGCAGGAGCACCAGCAAGCTCCCCGGGCTGGCAGGGGGCGACAGCAGGCAAGCTCAGCCATGCCAGCTCCAGATTGCTTGATCTGGATCCATCTTATTTGCTGACATTGGCTTGATCTCCCAGCCAGTCTAGGGTTGTGTGTAAGTGAAGTGTGGGGGGGGGGGGGGGGGGGGGGGGGACTGTGGAGAAAAGTGGAAAGGGGCGCATCCAGGAAAGGCTTTGGAACATTGCAATTGGCCATACTTTCTCTGTCCCTGAAAGATAAGATAATGTGTGTCCGAGCAGGCAGTCTCATCCATATGTAGGCCTGCTCTTGGGGGCACAACATTACTGTCTCTGAATATTTCCACTCACAAAATTCAGCAACTCTCAGTGCACATTGTTAAGGCAGTTCTAAAGCAGCACGAGCGATGGCTGGAAGGATTAAGATGCATAGAAATGTCTATCTCTGTCCCAAGCAGGAAGTGGTGAGAGCTTCCCCAGTCAGGACAGTGGGCCAAGTGCAGAAGGCATGCTTTGCCAGAGTCAGGGACTCCAGGAAGTTCTCTCCGAGGAGGTAGTTTGGGGGCTGAGTTCCGAAGGAAGAGGAGGATCTCCTCAGGCAGAGGTTGAAGGACTGGTCTGGGCATCTTCTCTGGGCCTTGGCTACCTCAGGCCTTTCACAGAGCTCTCTCCTTCCAGGAGTGGCTTCCAGAGACCTTTGTGAAGAGAATATCCCAGCTGGACACACAGTCTCCTGTTACCAAGATCAATGGTAGGAGATGCCTGATTGCATCTACCTTTGTGAGAATGTGAGAATCTCCAAGTCAGGGAAACCCAGCCACACTGTCTGTCTCTGCCCTGACCCCCAGCTTGTCACTAGTGTGTTTTACTTTCAGACTTCTGACCCATTACATGACAAGCAGGTCATGACTATAGAGGGGGGACCCTGCAAGACCGGGGACCTGACCTGGCCTTTTGGCTCCTCAGTGGCTGTGGACAGGCTGCCAAACTCCCGAGCAGCCCCCAATGTCCCCAGGGACCAGCCACAACCACATCATCAGTGTTCCATCCACCTGAACTGTGAAGACACCCTGGCCCTCCACCAGGCCTTTGAAGATGCCAAGGACGGCCTGCCTTCCCAAAGGTAGGTGAGACCTGGCCTTTGTGTCCCCTGTGTGTTTTGAGGCAGGGGCCTGGCTTCTTCTTCCTGGCACTAAACCTTCAGTGTCCATGTTTCAAGAACACAAAAATGTACCCCAGAGAAGAAATCTAGACACCAGAGAAGTGGAGATGAAGAGTGGGGCATGCTGGGAGTATCCCAGGTTAGTGGATGACAGTCCCAAGGATAGCAGCACTCAAACTGAGAAGAGGTTCTCAGATACAGTGACTCGGCAGAAGACATGCTCATTTAGCCCCTAGTGCATATCTGAGGGGCCCCTTTACCCAAGCTCCTAAAAGCATCCCCCATCCCAGCTGTGTCTCCATCCTTTAGAGCAGGCAGGGCTCTGTGGAGCCTACACCACTCATCCTCTATGTTGTTTGGTAGAGATATGCTGCGACCCTGCACAGTGCCAGGCTCCACACTGGGCACAAGTTGTGGAGCCTGGAATGTGAAGCAGACAGAAGTTTATAATAAACCTTGTGCACGAGAACTCACAGCGTTGGGGGGCTGGGGAGATGGCTCAGCAGTTAAGAGCATTGATTGCTCTTCCAAAGGTCCTGAGTTCAATCCCCAGCATCCACATGGTGGCTCACAACCATCTATAATGAAATCTGGTGCCCTCTTCTGGCCTGGTTTCTCAGTCACAGAGCAGAAAGAAAGACCCACAAGATCTCTGCCTCTGTGCTGGCCTCTGCTGCCTAGAAAATAGCCGACATCATGCACTGTTAATGGGCACTAAGGAGAAAAAGAAGCGGCTGGGGAGGTCTGCTTTTTAAAAGAAGGCCCCTCTGATGGTGTGACACTTGAGCAGTACATGGAAGGAAGCAAGATGGATTGTGTGAATATCTGAGGAAGAACACCCAGAGAGATGGGCAGGTGTAAAAGCCAGGGCAGGGATGTGCTGTTGTATTGGGAACATAAAGACAAGGCCAGAGTGGAGGGTGCACACCCACAGGGCTGGTCAGGCATTGTCCGTCCACTGCCTTGGCTTTCACTCAAAGAAAGCCTGACTTTTCCTTCTGAAAGACCACCCTACCCAAAATGGACAAAAAGAGAGGAGTCCTGTTGCAATCGGTTACTGGATGCAGAATGTGAGGGCAACAGGACAGTGACTGGGACCTGGGTGGACCCAGCAGAAGTGATGGGAACTGTCCAAGTACTGGACATGTTTTAAGGGCAATGCAGGTGAGGTTTGCTGCTGCAAAGGAAGTGGTGTGTGTGAGAGAGAGGAACAACTGGAAAATTATGAGAAAGAAAGAGGCTTCTGGGAGGTATGGGAGAATGTTAGGCAGATATCTAAGGTGAGAAGTGTGGCCAGCCTCAGAAAGGGCATTTCATATGGCCTTGAAAGATACTCATGTGGTCTGGGAATGGTTCTGGGGAATGGTTCCAGCATCCCCAAGTCCATGGTTACCAAAAATTGTGGCGCTCAGGTCCCTTCTGTAAAATGTCAGAGCCTGCATCTAACCTTCTCACATCCCCCTGTAGGTCATCAGTCATCTCTAGATGATGTAAAATACCTGTGTAGGTGCTGAGTAAATGGCTGCCAGGCAATAGCATTTATGGAATGATGCCAAGGGGGAAGTCAGCATGGTCAGTGAGGCACAGTTTTTTTTTTTTATAGTATTTTCGGTCTGTGGTTGGAGAATGCACAGAGTACCCAAGCATAGAGAGCCAAATATATCTAGAGATCTGAGGGACTTTTACTTCAGGTGGGAAAGAGGTTGGCTGGGCATGGGGTACCACATTGTGGTGGCTCAATAATAGAGCTAGATGCTCTGTTTTGGCCTGTTCCAAAGGAGGTTCCTGGGCCAAGAGGGGGGGGCAAGCTTGGCTGGACCCTGGCCATTTGAGCACCTGCTGACTTGGGCCTGACCCCTGCATGGTTCTCACTATCTGGAGCCTGGTAGTATCTGAGTTAGGGAGCCAGATTAGAACATAGGTCTCTGGGGAAGGAAGACAAGCCTGGACCACACCAGGTGAGAAAGGATCGGAGATCTGGAATCTGGCTGTAGTGGTCTGGAAAAACACCACAGAGGTGGTTTAGACTGTGCTAACCACCGTGGTCTCACAGTGACAATCAGCCCACATTGGTGGTCCCTGAGGACCTTCATTTTGTCCTGTGTCACCTCAGAGTGGCCCGAGCGCTTCTCAGTCCTGACCCTCCCTACTCCCCCCCACATCACAGACCTATGATTGAACTCTGCATCCCATCATCTCTGGACCCCACCCTGGCTCCTCCAGGCTGCCATGTTGTCTCCCTCTTCACTCAGTATACGCCCTACACCCTGGCAGGAGGCAAGATCTGGGATGAGCAGGAGAAAAACAACTATGCAGACAAAGGTAAAGAATGTAACACAGGTTGCTCTTCAGGATGATAGCTGGCTGTGGGAACTTTCTCTCTCTCTCTTTCTCTCTTTCTCTCTCTCTCTCTCTCTCTCTCTCTCTCTCTCTCTCTCTCTCTCTCTCACACACACACACACACACACACACACACACACAGCCTCATTCAAGCTAAACTCTTCCCAAGGAAGAGATGTGCCCAAGGAAACCGTATATCAACATGGTGAATGTTGGCTGTGATCAGGCACTAGGTTAAGAAAGCCAAAGGGATAGGGACCCAGGCTAGAGAGATGGCTCAGCAGGTAAAGGCACACAAACAACCCTGATAACCTGAGCTTGGTAATCTAACATTCAGTGGAGGGAGAAAAACAACTCCCAAAGTTAGCTGTTGTCTGACCCCCCCCACACACACACACTCTGGACCACATGCATGTGCACACACACACACACACACACACACACACACACACAGAGAGAGAGAGAGAGAGAGAGAGAGAGAGAGAGAGAGAGACTGGACCACATGCATGTGTGCGCGCACACACACACACAGACACACACACACATGCTCACATACACATGCACACACATACTCAATAATACATAACATTTTTTATAAAGCAGAAGACTCCACTCTTACCCTCCAGTTGCTCAGAGTCCAGTCGGGGAGACTAACTAGGGAGCAGACCACCATAGAGCACTGTGCTTTATGGACCAAAAGAAGGAAGCCATGAGCCAGAAACAAGGAAAGCACTCAAGGAAAGAAACATTGAACTGGCTTTGAATGTTTGATGAATGGGAGTTGGACCAAGTGCAAAAGAATGAGCTTGGGCAAAGGAATGAGAAGAAAAATCCTTCACATATTCAGGAGGTGACAGAGTCTTGTGGGTAGGTCAGGGTTAAGAAATGAGAGTGTGCGGCTGGGCTGGCTGCAGGCCTTTTAGGTAAAGCATTTTGCTCATGGACTATTTTTCTTTTTGTTTGTTTTTTAGTTACTGGTATATAATTTACATAGGATAAAATAAACCCCTGACTCATATAACTTAATGGATTTTAGAAAACTTACCAGTCATACAACCTTATTGTTGCTTCTTCCATGGTTAACAGTGTTTGACTGCATCGAGGCCTACGCCCCTGGCTTCAAGAGTTCTGTGCTGGCCAGAGACATCCTCACCCCACGGGATCTAGAGAGAATCTTCGGGCTTCCTGGAGGGGTGAGTGGAGGCCTGGGGCCTCCTCCCACTCATATTCCTACCTGCCTCCCTGACTGGCCCCCTTGGGCTTTACCCCACCTTCATTAGGAAGTGATAGAGCCCATGGCTGAGTTGGGAGAGGAGAGGACAGACACACACATGGGTGCCACTGGAGAAGGTCACCTGGCCTGTAGCACATCTGCCCCCAACATCCCCATCAGCCTCTTCTAAAGAGCATTCCCTCCCTATGGAAACAGGCTCTTGCAGTGAGCTTTACTTCACCAGATACAGGAGACTGGAGACCAGAAGCTAGAAACCTGGCTAGGAGCCTGGGAACCTGTGATGATCCAAAGAGCCCTGTGAGAAATAGGGAGCCCATGAGGAGCCAGGGAGACCCATGAGGAGGCAGCTCCAACCCCACAGCCACTAGCCACAGCAGCTACGGAGCCTGACAAGGCCAGAGTGAGCTGAGTGGTGTGTGATTCACATCAGTGGGAAACCCAGCATGGGCACAAGTGATGCCATCATGTCAGTACTATTACACTGATTATGAACCAAGATGATCAGATTTGGGGTCTATTAGATAAATAAAATACACGATTGACATAAATGTCACTAATTTAGCTCTTCTTAAATGTGGCTCCTAGTGAATCTAAAATTACATGCGTGGCTTTGGACATTTTTTGTTTTTGCTTTGACAGCACTGGTCCAGACAGAAGGCAAACAGCCAGGGAGTGGGAGGGGCTTCACAGACTGTGGATGATCAGTACCAGGCAGGGGTGGGTGAGAAGTGTTGATGCCAGTAAGCTCTGGAGCATGCACATGCCATGGAGGTCGAACCAGAGGCTAAGGGCAGGATGGCAGTGTGGTCATGAAGGCAGGGATGAAGTGGTTCTCATGGGGACCAGTTGAAGGGGCAGCAAGAACAGCCCATGGTGACATCTAGCAGATTCTGGTCTTCTTAGGATACCCATTGCCTTTCTAGGCCAGTCTTACCCAAGCCAGTGAGCAGAACCAGATCCTGCTGTGCCACATCCGCTGCTCACTGTGATGCCTATGGAAGAGGGGTCAGGTGGGCACTCAAGGCCAAACAGAGATGGTAGCTATGCAAAGACCCATGCCACAGCAGGAGCCTGCGCCAACAGAGCAAGTCAGTCTTCCCAATAGACTCAGGAGGTTGATGGTTCAAGCAAACCCTCAGCACCCCCCCACACACACCTTTCCCACTCAATTTCCCTGTATTCTGTAGAGACCCTACTCCTCTCTCTTCCCAATAAAGCACCATGGGAGTTTTACTCTGCAGCCCGAGACACGTCCCTCCTCTCTCTCACCCACAGCCCAGGACATATTGCTCTCCTCTCTCACCTGAAACCTGGAACATGTCTCTCGTCCCTCTTTCCTACAGCCTGGGACATGTCTGTCTCCTCTCTCACCTTCAGTTAAGAACCCAGGGAAATATTCAGAAGTAAGAGGACCTGGGTTAGAGAATAGAGAGAGGAAGAGCCAGCCAGGATGGCAAAGCCCATAGCACTCCTACACTAACAACTGTCGCCCTGCCCCCACAGAACATATTCCACGGTGCCATGTCCCTGGACCAGCTCTACTTTGCCCGTCCAGTGCCCCAACACTCTGGCTACAGATGCCCTATTCAGGGCCTGTACCTCTGTGGAAGTGGGGCCCACCCTGGTGAGTGACTTACTTCCTGTGTGGGCTGCAAGGGCTTGTGGGGTGAGGGAGGTAGTAAGCCTGCAGACAGAGGAAGATGCAGGAAGCCATCCTCTGTGAGGGCAAGCACTCAGCAGTGTCCCTGCCAGGCTGCCAAACCCTTGGCTTTTGGTGCACACCCCCTCCCTCCTAGGTTTAGGGACACAGTCTGATGGAGGGAGGAGGAACTCCTCCAGGGGTTGTGGGGGACTCACATTCATTAATTCCTCACTCATATTTGAGACCAGAGGGAGGATCAGTAATGTTTCTCTAGAAATTCTTTGCTGTACCAACTCCATGGCTACCTGACTTCACTGTAGCTGTCGTCTCCTGGTGACACCCTTTCTGAGCTGTGGGTGAGATCTCCCATAAAGAGCTGTGTCCCCTGTGCCCCCTCCCTATTCTTAACATTTCAGCTAAACCTCTAAGTGCCTCCCTGTCTGGCAGACTGAGGCCCCCAGCTGTGTGTGGAAGCCTCAGGGAGCCCAGACACTGTGGTAGTTGTTCCAACTGTGGCTGCTCTCTGAGTCCTGCCCTGTCTCTTTCTGGTGGGCTTCTGAAAGTGGTTTTGGTTCCAGGAGGAGGTGTCATGGGAGCTGCTGGACGGAATGCAGCCCACGAAGTCTTTAGGGACCTCAAGAGCACGTGATGCTGGGCCAACTCTGGCCCTGGGAGAAAAGCTTTCCCTGCACTTTGGAGCCACCTATCAGGCCACCTGCCCATGATAACCTGCTTGGAAGGATACCACTGGGGACAACTGCATCAAAAAGGTGCCATTGATCTGAATCAGGGCCCGAGTTACATTTGCACAGTTTCACCTGTGCCCCAGGGCTCTATGGGCTGCCTGGGTGTGTCTTATTAAAAACAATGTTTTGTACAGAGACTATTTGTATTGTTTTCCTTTGTGTCTATGGGTGGGAAGAACTTGGCAAACCAGCTGGACACAGTCCATTTAACAAATGGAAGAGCTTGGTCCAACTGTCCCCTTCTTGTCAGTTGGGTTCCCACTGCCAGATGATTGGAGGGTGGGCCTGTATTAGCCCAGTCAGCTACTGTCATGTTTCTGTCACTATACGAACAAATTCACAGCCCCAGTGACCCAGAGTCATCCACATGATGGACCGGAGCAAAACTTTGCATCTCAAGCCATTGAAACCTCTAGTTAGGAGACAGCAAAGTGGGTTCATCAGAAGCAGCCTGGGACCCCCTTCCTGATACCAGAGCACTCCACCTCTCCTTGCCAGATGCTAAATCTGCCATGTCTGTCACGAAATATTTCACATAAACAGGTGTCATTCTGCAGGGAGCTTGGCTGCCACTATCAGAAAGAAAAAATCCACAGGACAGTTCCACTATAACACAGCTGTGCTGGAAGCCCCTCCATGTCTGGATTAAAGGCCACCATCCCAAGCTGTTCCCTCTGTAGGTCAGATAGAAGGTTCCTGGGGCTCTCACATCTAACCACTTCTGCACAGACAATCATGGTTACTGTTCACAATATTTCCAATTAGTCTTCCACACAATCAGGATACATTATAATGTTCTTTATGTGATTTACAACTGTCTTTCTTTGAATTTACTTCCTATCAAAAACTATTCAGTGCTATGAAAGTTCTTTGGGGAACACTTTTAATAGCTGTCTAATATTCCCAGGTGAGGATGGAATCATAATTTATTATGGGACATTCAATCCAGCCTTGACCTTGTTTGCTAATTGACACCAGCCCAAGGCCAGCCAGCTGCTCTTTGGCATTCCTTCTCCTGTGGGGGTCTCCCTACCAAAGCCTGGCTCCCAGGCACAGCTGTTGGCCACTCCTGCTAACAGAGAAGGAACTGGTGGAGGAGGGCTGTTTTAACTTGGTAAGGAAGAACTTCCCACTGTTTGGAGATTCCCCACCGGATGTCTCACATCTCTGAAAGATACAATTTTTGGTCCAGATGGATGGGGAGAGAAGATCAGGCTTCAATACTGTGGAGTGCCTCAGCATCTCCAAGGCCCCAACTCATGCCAATCCACTGAGAAGGCTGGGTTGGCCCTACTCAAAGTGATGGCTCTGCAGACTGGCCATGAATCAGTCAAACAGGTCCCTTGCTGACTTCAGCACATAAAACTCTTACCCAGATAAACAAGTCAGGGCCCTCCCCTTACCTGATTTACGGCTGCTGGAGTCCCCAAGCAGGAGGGAAACTTCCTCCCAGGCGCAGGAAGCTCACCTGGTGAAGTCATTATGTCACACAGTGCCAGTGACAGTGAGCAGAGGTTCAGCCACATGTGAGGTTTATTGCTCCGGAAGAGATCTGGCTGTCCTGGTGGGAGGAGGGCCAGGTGTGTGTGTGTGTGTGTGTGTGTGTGTGTGTGTGTGTGTAAGCAGTGCCTTGTGAGTTTGCTCGGCAGCTGACAGCCTGGGTTCTGGGACACTGATAGGACTCCAGTGATGAAGGACGGGACACTGTGGAGCGGAGTATGGGACACAGGGGAGCACAGAGAAGCATTTGGACAGGGCTGGGGAGGGATGGGAAATTTAAAGAAAGGATAAGGGGGTGGGAGTGGGTTACAGGTTAGTGAACCCGAAAAAAAAATCGCTTTTTTCTTTTTGATTTTTCTGAGACAGTGTTTCTCTCTGTAGCTTTGTAGACCAGGCTGGCCTCAAATTCACAGAGATCCATCTGCCTCTGCCTCCCAAGTGCTGGGATTAAAGGTGTGTGCCACCACCACCTGGCAGGAAAAAATTATTTTTTTTAACCTCACCAGAAGTTAACAAACTGTGATCCAAACCAAATGATAATATTTTATCTGGAAAGGTAAAAAAAAAATCGTGATAGAAAATTAGCATTGTGGATCTTCCCTGATTTTATTTGAATTTTGTCAGCCCTGTAACACAGTCGTCAGATCAACAGTTCTACAGCTGGCTAGACAGGCCTCCCAATAACAAGAGAATGGAAGATAAATTAAATGATATTGAACAAAGGACTCAGGATGCAGTGATCTTCCAAAACAATGCCTAAGATGAAATAATAAAAGAAAGTTAACTCGGTTTGGTTGTTCAGATCCTGAGACATGTAGGTGGCTCAAATGCTATTGTATATAAAAGGAAAATGATGCTTTCCTCACCAAGCAGCTCGGGGATCATAGCTTCCCAGAGTTATGTCCACACACCTCTCTGACCCAATGGGTTCACTTCCAGGTAGAGAACCAGCAGAAATGTGTTCATGTGCTCACCCCCAGACACACAGATAGGTACCCCTTGTGAGACATACAAAGGACCAAAGTGTTCTCAGATTTCAGTTTTCTGGATTTAAGAACACTGGCATAGACTGTCCTGGGTGAGCATCCCTAGATGGTTTACTGAAAACCTGAACCTTTGTGAGCATCGGGCCTTCAAATTGTTGGGTTTCCAAGCATTTGGGATATTAGATTTTCAGATTAGGGTACTCAACTTGTCCTAGCGTGCAGCACTGTTTACAGCACCTCTAAACTGGAAAGTAAACTATCCAGACAGCCGCCCATCAACTATAGAATGGTAAACTGTATACTCTCAGGTGCTGAAATGCATGAACAATGTAGAATGAGCCCTCTAGATCATACACAGCAGTACTATGGTGAGTCTCAGAAGCCAGACACAAAATAATTCATGCTGCAGAATCCCACTTGTGGAATGAGTAAACTCAGGTTAAAGGAAGCTGTCTTATTAGGATTTCATCTTCATTGGTTTTAGGGTGTTGGGAGTGCATGGAAACCCTCAGGGCACAGGTAATATCTGTAGTTTGATCTGTATTACAGTAATGAAGATGTGTTCTACTTCCTAAATACTAGTTGTACTATGCATTTCGGATGTTGCAGCTTCTGTGTACGTAGTATACTTGCATTAAAAAATCTTAAAACTAACTTGGTACCTGAAACATAGGCCACACTAAATAGCTTCCTGCCTTCAAAGCTCTCATTTCCCAGCAAAGCTGTAGGTCTGAGTCTAGATGCAGAGGGAAGGATGAAAGAGAAGGGAACAGAAAGATGTGATAGGCAGACCCATGATCTGCCTGTCTCTACCCATGATTCCTGCTTAGAGCCTGTCTTGTGTTATCCACGCCCCTGAGTATAAATGTAACCTGTGAATTGCTTCTAAGCAACAGGATATGACCAGGGTACCTGGACATAGGCCACATAGGGTGACGTCACACATCTTACAGAACGCTCTGCATCTCTGGCTCTCTGTGAGGAAGAAAGGGGCTACACTGAAAAACCCCAGGTGCAAGTAGCCCCAGCCAGCCTCCAGGTGACAGAAGGGCTCGGTCCTGTGCCTCAGAGCAGCACCTGATGCTGCCAACAGCTATGTGAGCAGGACATGGACATCCCCAGCATCCTCCCGACGGGAGTGCAGCCCAGCCAGTGCCGTAGGTACAGGCTTGTGATGCTCTACACAGAGAGCCTGGATCCTTAAACAATTGAAACTGTGTGAGAACAAACGTGTGTTGTCTAACAGCACTGAGTAGTAACCTGCTATGGAGACAAATAACCACTGCAAGGGGGAAGACTCACAGCCGTGAACATGACGGAAGCAAAGTAGCCTCGTGATGGGAATTGAAACTGCCTCTTGAGTCCACAGTTACTCTATGATCTGGACCCTCTGATGGCTGGCCATCTGCCCCCACCCCAGAGAGTGACACCTGGAGTAGGTCACTGCTGAGGGCATCAAGACAGACCACCTGAGAACCCACTGTCACCGGATCTCTGGTAAGTCTTTTGCTCACATAACTCTCAGTTCCTCTGTAACGAATGGAGATGAGGACATTTTGCCTCACACAACAAGGAAAGTGTCCTTCATTCTTTACAAAATGATAAGTTACTGCACTCATAAGTGGACCAGACAGAGTGCGAAGCATATGGGAACATTGTGGACCCACCTGGAGGAAGAGAATGAAATGAAAGCCATCATTTGAAACAGAAGAGAAATGAATCCCCTCCATTTAAGGCATAGGGCCTCTCTCCATGGGAGAGAACCCAACTGAACAGCCTCTACCCTGGGACCTTGATAACACCCCCTACCACACATGTACACACACTCATGCATGCATGCGTGCAAATGCACACACACTCATACACACACATGCATACAGGCATACACATACATGCACACACACACACACACACACACACACACACACACACACCTCTACAATAAACCACAGTGACTCATGCAGATCAATACAACAGAACAGGGAAGAAGGAAGCAGGCTGGGCAGCTTGCCAGAAGCAGAAGTCCGAGTGATTGCTAAGCTGTATTTCTGGTCCAATAAATCAATGTGCCTTGGAAGGGCTCCTCCGACACTGTGGCTGTAATTGGAGCTACCTTCCTCAGGGGCTTTGAGCTATGTTCAAGGTCAGGAAACAAGCTCTGGTTTTCCTGGTCCAGCACAAGCTCCTATACCCACCCTGGGACAAGGTTCTGCAGCTCCTGGAGAAAGAGCTGTGGAGAGTCTGCCTGCAGGCTGTGACAGGAGAAATGGGATGGGGACTGGTCTCTGATATCTCTCTTCAGTGGATTTCCAAAACTCACCCAGCATTCTCTCTGGATGCTAACCCTAAAACTAGTATCTCCATTCATTTGCTGTTGGGGGATTCATTCCAACAGAGGTTCCAGAATCCCACAGAGTCCCATGCTAATAATGGTAGCTGCTTCTTCCTGAGCTCTGAATGTGTGCCAAGCCATGCATCAACCAGGTACAGCAAGCGCATTACTTCACTTAGGTCCACAATAAGCCAAGTTCCCTTTACAGTAAGCCAACTTCGTGAGCTGAGCATTGGCATAGTGACAGCAAATATCTTGCTGATTGTTGATCCAGTCGAGGTGAACTGAGGTTTTTCTGGTATTGAAAGTCATGTTCTAA